ACCGCACTCGTCTTATCCTTACGATGGAGCGCAGCGGACCCTACGATCCAACCCAGCCAATCCAGCGCAGTGAAAAGCTTTCCCCGACAACACGCCACGCGTGTCGCTGCTCTTCTCCCAAAGATCACGTGACACTCAGGCGGAATTTGATTGGCTCTGACGGCTCGTGGCGTCCGCTGCAGTCCGTCGTAATGGTGTCCCAAGAGCTCCGTTCAAGCGCATTACCCAAGGCCAAGGTCCCCCAACCAGAAGCCCCTGAGCCGGCACTCGTGCCGGCTCAATGATGGCCGGCACGAGCTCTTCCACTGGCTTCTGATTGTCGTGTTTTTACTTTCACTCAATGTCGGTGCTGGAAATGGACCTTTTTTTTTAGTAAGGAGCGCCGTCTGCGGAGTTGTCTTCGAACTACAAATGAAGGGCAACCCAACTTGCTTCCGCCCGTCAGAATTGGCATATCGTGCTGTTGTATCGGTCTTCGTTGCCTTTTATGAGCCATACTAGCTAGCGTATACTCAAACAAGAATGGGCAAAGAAGACGAAATACGCACAAACATAGGTGCTGAATATGTTGGCCCCAACTCTGCCCCCCAACTCTGAGAACTTGCCCCCCAACTCTGAAAACGTGGGGAGGGGGGGGGGGGGGGGGGCGGGCGGCAAACGCACCCCTCCTTCCCCCATTCGGTTGGTACGCCCATGCAACTAGCCGATCTTAGTGATATCACGGATGCGCGCGGCTCGTTGCCCATACAGCCCGGACTATGATCCAACCCAGCAAGCTTGCGCTCGAGAGCTGACGACCAAACACACCACTCCCAAAAAAGATCTAAAAAAAAATAAATAAATAAACGTAGTGCGTTGTTTTCGAGGCGAAAAAATTACATTTTTCGCCTATTCTTACGTTATTTTACCGTCTACAAAAGCAAACACATTTCGTAATAACAGCGCCTGCAATCCCGACGAAATGTCACATCTTCTTTGGATACATGTCGTCCTGGCTGCCGGAACAATGCTCCCATCGCTGGAGATGACTTGGACGTGTTCGGCCTTCGATTGCTTTTTTAAAGGGGAAATCAGCAGCGCATCGTTATGATTTATGGCTTTCTAGGATGCTTAGAGCCCGCAGAGTGAGTTATCGCCATATTTAGGCGATCTCAGAACCCTCCTCAAGGCACCTATAAGCTGAGACTGTAGCCAATGTCACAAGCACGAAACCTCAAGGTCTCTGCAGTTTGAAGTGCTTCCGCAGAACGAGCACGCGCGCTAGAAATGCACGTCTCAAAGCCAGGATCACGGGCTAGTTAGCGCTTGTTGCTTTGGCCGCAGTTTCAGAGGGTGAATAAAGTAGATAGGTTTAGTAATTATACTCCGTCTCGCAAACGTCTGCAGTAAAGCCTAAGGCACAGGCGCGTGAGCCTAGCTCAGCAGAATGCTTTTGTTTGTACGAGAACCGATCGTATGTATAGATAGGAGGCACATTGAGTAGCGACCTATTAGATTATGACGTCTCAGTGTACGAAGGGCTATCTGATCATGATTTAGTTAGCGTGACTTGTCATTTGAATTCAGACAGACCATCAAGAGAACGCACTGGAAAGTTTGTAAGGGACTTTGAGATGGCAAGTGACGTTGACATTTTAGACTGCCTTGAGATGGCTTTGTATGAGTTCGAGCGCCCCAGGCCGGTAGATGAAATGTGGGAGGACTTTAAACGAATAGTTAACTACTGCATTAAACGTTAATTATATTCCCTTAAGGCTAATTAAAAAGAAGCAAAACCCATGGCATGGATCACCAGGGAAATTTTGCATTTAAAAGGCAGATAAAGCGAAAGCGTAAAAAGAAGTTAGTTAATAAGCAAGGAATTTCGTGTTTATCTGATAAATTAAAGGATAGCCTACGTGCATCAAAGCAAAAATATTTTACTGTTACCATGCAAAATTTCATGAGGTCGGGCCCCAAGCAATTTTGGCGTTATCTCTCTCCCACAAAAAAGCCCATATCAAGTCTTGAAGTTGACGGTGAGGTCGTTAATAATCCAGAGGTTATGGCCAATGTATTCAACACTTTCTTTCAGTCCGTGTTCTCAAGTAACGTGCCTAAATTTCCTGGTCACGATATGAGAGGCGGTGTTGGATACAACGGACCTATAATGACAGATATTTCTATTTCAGAAGAAGGCATTTTTTCTCTTTTGTTGCAACTTAAAGTGCATAGGTTTGGGGGACCCGATAACGTTCCAAACACATTCTTAAAACGGTACGCTGAGTGGGTTTCAAAATATCTAACGCTTATCTTTAAAGCTTCGTTATCGCAAAGTTTCATTCCCTCCGACTGGCGACGCGCTAGAGTCGTGCCTATTTTTAAAGCTGGCAGCAAATTATCCCCAACCAATTATAGGCCAATATCACTGACAAGTACAAGCTGTAAAATAATAGAACACATTGTCTCAAAGTCATTATACGACCACTTAGAAAACAATAACCTTCTCTATAAAAGCCAACACGGCTTTAGACGAAAACTTTTAACGGTTACCCAGTTAAGTGAATGCATTCACGACTTTTGCAAATCTATCGATGCCGGGGGACAATCTATCGATGCCGGGGGACAGCATAAACACTTTAAAAAAAACAATTTAAATTAATTGGAGTCAGCTCGGAATTGGTTAATTGGATAAGTGCATACCCCAAGGAAAGAAGACAATTTGTTGAAATAAATAGCACGGCATCTAGCGTTTTACCAGTATCATCGGAAGTCCCACAGGGCTCCGTTTTGGCTCCGGTTTTATTTTTAATATATATTAATGACATTGCGCAAGCCATTGATGATTCGATTACGGTACGATTATTTGCCGATGACTGTCTTTTGTACACAGATATCAAAACTAGCGATGATCAAACTACTCTGGACAGCGCTCTACAGAAAATCGGGTCATGGTGCCAAGAATGGGGGATGGTAATTAATGTTGACAAAACTGTACTTCTAAGGATATCAAATAAGAAAACTATTCTACCTTATTTATACACAGTTAACGGGTCTCCTTTAAGAGAAGTGATTAGCTATAAATATTTGGGTGTAACAATTGAAAATAACTTAAAATGCGGGAGCCACGTTAACAACATCTGCTGTTCAGCTAAGCGTACATTAGGATACTTGAAGAGGAATTTTAGATATGCGACTATGAATGCCAAGCTGATGGTCTACAAAACAGTCATGCGACCAGTATTAGAGTACGCAAATGTAATATGGGACCCCCCTCAGAAAAATCATTCAGAAATTAGAGAACGTACAAAGACTTTCAGCTCGGTATATACTCTCCAGATATAGACGAACCGACTCTGTCACTGGCATGTTAAAACAGCTTGACCTTATACCTCTTTCTGAGCGGCGCAGGAATGCTAGACTAAAGTATATTTTTATGATGTATCATGTTTTTTTTCAACATTGACTACACCCTGTATTTGAAACCCCGTATAACTCGCATTCTAAGAAATAGCCATTCAAAAATGATCCAGCCTTTTCATAGTAGAGTTAATGTATTTCACTGTTCTCTCTTTCCTAAAACAATAGATGAATGGAACCTTCTACCGCAGGAAACTGTAAACTCAAGTTCCCCTACAGTTTTTAAATTATTTGAAGCGCTTGCAGAACTAGTTTGTTCATTGTTATTATTGAGTGGTGCATGCCGTTTGCTAGTTGAATAATGTTGTCTTTGTAATATGATTGCAAATTATACTTGTTGATGCGGTGTTTCTCGTCTTCCTGCTGCTGTTTATTTCTGTGCATTTTTACACTCTCCTGTAATGTATGCGGTGTTCTTGTTTTGCTGCTGTTGTTTATTACCGTACTTTTTTTTTTTACCCTCCTGTAATGACCCCAAGAGGGGTTAACAGTATCTTGAAATAAAATAAAATAAAATAAAATAAAGCATGCGGTTGTTCCTGCCCATTGTCTTTGCTTGCACTGCAGATGTTTATGAGTTGGAGTATAGTGCCACTGTTTATGCAATAGGCCGATCCCACTAAGCGTTCTACTCGTGCGTGTTGCCGCCATAACTGTAGTTCATAAGAGGCAGGCGTGCTATGCTCGCGCAGACACTCAGCGGGGTTGTCACACGCAGAAAGACTACAGTTCCCACGATGCACTGCGGCAGCGGTGGCGCAATAAAGCTGTCTACCAAAAACACATGCACCGACAGGTCTCTTCACAGCCCTCATTGACAGTACTTGCTTTTTATAGTTCTTGTTCTTCATCCATGTTTTTACTGACTGTAAAACGCATGGATTTCTACAGTCCCAACGGGCAATTTTCCTTATGGACAATGGGCACGTGCTGCTCGGAGCAGCACGTGCCAAAAGCGCTCCTGTTGTGCTCAAGTACGCTCAAGCTTGCAATCGCAAGCCTTAAAAAGAAGAAAAAAAGTTGTCGTGTAGGCTAATAATTGGAAGATTAAAACCGCCTGCTCAAAAATAATCTCATCGAGGCAGTGACGTAGCCAGGAATATTTTCTCAACGGCGGGAAAGAAGGGGGGGGGGGGGGGGGGGGGGGGGGGGTCGAAGTGCATGTGTGTATTATAGGCATATAGGGTCCGCTGGATTTCGGGGGGCCGGCGGGGCTGCCCATCTTACGCCACTTCCTCCAGGCATAAAACTGCCCAGAGCAAGCGAGCGCGTGCCTTGCAAAGAACTCGAACAGACCCTTCGCGGGCGCCCCTCACCTCCATCCATCGGAAGGAAAGACATCGAATCCGTTGTTTATATCCTTACTCGAATATGAACCGCTGTCGCAACAAGTTATCCGCGCAGTTATGCCAAGCGCCGTCTGAGGTCATTACGATTCCATTAGCAGACATAAAAAAACATTACCCGAAGCCCACCCGGCGATTGCCTTTTGTCCAGCCGCCGAGATGAAAAAGAAGAAAACAAAAGGCGGACAAAAAAAAAAAAGAAGTATTACCATAAAATAATCGTTCATTTCGTGGTCTCTTTGGCGCCGTTTTCAGGAAGGGCTCGTCCCGCGTGGCTGAAAAGGCGGGCATACCAGTCCAAGGTTCTCCGGGAGTCTACCGGCGCCTGAGTGCCGCCAACACCGCAGCCACGAATAATCATGTCCAGCGAGTTCAGAATCACGCCGCTAGGCGGGGCAGCATCGTTCCCGATCTTCTCGCTGTCAAAATGGCGGAGGCGGGTTGCGCGTCAACTTCATGGCCCAACCTCAAGGAGGATTACGAACTCGGCGAAGTTATCGGTGAGTGCTGATTCGACGTAAAACGGACCTCGATATCACCTGACGTCCTTCACAAATCGAATGGGTTAGCGGCGATGCCTACATCTGCTTTGTTTACCCGGTGTCCCCCGGCTGGACTGTTCCACCGGCAAACTTGAAACTTGCGGCAGTGATTCCGGTTATTCATCGCAGATTGGGCACCCGTGACTAACAGGCCGTGGTTCGGTTCCACGTGTTGTCGCCGGCTTTGTTCGCGAACGCTGATCGTCGCCGGAGCGTAGGATGTTTGCGCCTAAATGTAGTCTTGTGCATTTTTCCTTCGTCTAGACGCGATCGGTTCATTCAGCTTCCCGAATGCCGGTAGTCAATTTCACTCTAGCATCTCTCTCGGAAACTGTCGTTTCCTTTCGCGGGATACCCCCAAACTCAAAAATAAATAATAAAACAAAAAAAAAAAAACGAATTCAACGATGAAGGTAGAGGTAACCCAGACCTTTGACGTTTTTGTAGAGGCGGTGACGAAGCTAGTAGATTACTGCATGCTTCCGATATAACCGTGCCAAAACCCGATTGCGTCCGCGTACGGAGAGAGCGATAGGCGAATAATTGGCATTTACCTTGACCGAGGCGCGCCCGAGGTTATCTCGGGAGGCAGCTTTGCTCGATGCTATTGTATAGTCGTTACTACGTTACACGCGAGTCAGCTCGCTAACCTGCCTCAATTTGTCCGCACGAAATTCCGACGTTCTTGCTACTTTGTCGCTACTGAAATTCCTCCGGTTCTTCGCATCGACCCCTCGAAACACAAAAATAAACAAAGTAAGCAGTGCTGTAGGTGTAGATCGCATCGGGTTTGCTTTGTAAGCTATTTCTCCTAGAAAGCCGATACACTTTTTGTCGCGCCGGCATTTTGTGCGCACGGCCCTCGATATTGTTTTGAATATATCCGCGCGCGAAGACCCCGATGCCCTGTTTGTTATGAAAACGGTCTCCTCTCGGCACGTTTCATATTGCCGTTATTGTTTTTCGCAGGAGGACTCAATCGCCCTCTCGAAAGTTTCACTGTCGTTGTTTTTTAAGAGTATACGTTCACTATGGCTGCATCCGTGTGTTCCTGCGTCGACGGTGTCAATACCCGCGTCGTATTCTTAAGAATTTTACCGCACAAATAAAAGTAGTTAAAGCTCGCGCTGGCCGAACAGTTGAGTCTGTTTCGTCATTCCAGATAGCTTGTTCGGTTGTGTGTTAGGACAGCGCGCATAGCTTTCGATGTTTTAAACGGCATCTGGAGCTTGAGTAGAAGTATTGCCGTGTCGAAGGCAAGAGACGTTCGCGAACGTGGCTTTGCAAACTTGTTGTAATAGAGCTCGCGTGGCATTGATTGACGAGGCCTTTTGTGTCCAGACGCGCGAGAGGCCCCGGGCTATTTTAGTGATCTTTGTAGCCTCTCCGTAGCAGCCACTGTCCTTTTTTTAGTCGACCCCATGTTGTGTAGGAATAAGAAAGTTTCCGAATCCGGGGGGAGGGGGCTGGTGGTTGTAGCTGACTTCCCAAATAATTTTAATGCATCCTGAGAAAAGTGTACAGATACAGTTGAACCTAATAGCAAATTGCAGCCCAGCGTGCGAAAATGGCCCACTTGATCTCGCTATGTCGTGTCTTTTGAGCTGCAATAAAATGAATAAATGCAGCGGCATTGAGTTCACTCCAATAGACTTATTCCAAAATTCGAAGCGCCTCATTGCGGCGTAATGCCGCATTATGCATTGTGGGAATTAGTGGGAAGCCAAATCTGTATGCGTCCGCTCCTGGCCCACAGGTTCCAAGAATGCAACGTGCACAATGACAGGTTTATGGAAGTACAGTGCAATCCTCTTATTACGATAATGAGAAAGCCTGAAAATGCTATCGCTAAAACCAATTATCATTGTATCTAGACTAAAAACTAATTGTTTCTAGTCTAAAACTCTATAAACTATCATTTTAAGTAGTATATTGTTATATGTGGCATCATTAGTGGATTGCACTGTAGTCTATTGGCCAGCCGCCCTACGGTTTACCTTGCATGATTGTAAAATGAAACAAATTGAGTAATGCATCAGCATTGACTGCTAAAGCTTTGTTGCATGTACCTTTTAAATTATTTTCCAGCATTAATATCTCAACAGCATGCCAATTAACATTTACATGTACACTTTCTTTGCTTGATACAACACGTCAATCCTGATTTTAACGATTGTGAGCCTGTCTCAATAATCTAAAATTAGGTCCAGACTATGTTTTCTTTCACTGCAACGAAAGTTAGGTGCTTATTATATTTTTCGTAATTTCATTAAGGAAGCACCAATGATATGGTATATTGACTCATGTTGTGGCTCGTCGACGGGCAGTTCATGAATTCATGTCTACCTGCATCAGGTGTTGGTGCCACCGCTACCGTCCACACCGCATACTGCAAGCCAAGGAAAGAAAGATGTGCAATCAAGCGCATCAACCTGGAGAAGTGGAACACAAGCATGGAGGAACTCCTGGTCAGTGTCATAAGTTTCCTCCACCATTTGCTTTTCCATTCTACAAGACTGAGAGGCACGAACTGGCAGCCTGGTGTTCCGAACTAGGTAATAGGGATAGTTTATCCTGCAGCTGTAAAGTAGGCTAGGGTTATTAAACACACCGAGTTCTAAACAAATTAGTGTATGTTGCTTTGAGTTGCATCTCCGTGAGATGCAACATTTTCTCACGTATGAGCTGCATGTCGTTATTGGTCAATCAAAGGTTTATTCTTTTTGAGACATTACACCTGATTTTGCCCGGCATTGTTTGCTCTTACCCTGTTGTTTCATTTTTGAAAGTTATGGCTAGTTATATATTTGTGTCGGGTGTGGCACTTTCCTGTGTCTAATTTGCATTCTCGATTACAACAGCTTGAAAAAAGAAATTCATTGCTTATTACGAATACACCAAGAACACCTGATAGTAAACAAGTATTAAGAAAAAAGCATAATTAAAACAGAAAACACCATTTTTAAAGGTTATCATAGAGTATTCTGGGCTCCAGCTGGTAACTTTGCGGAAGAGCCTTGGTGTGATTTCTTTTTGTTTTTACTTTAATTAAAGAAAGCTGACATGTATCATGTATGCTTGCCAGTTTGTGTCACATTCTCGTATTGTTGTGCCTCGGGCCTGTTGTTCCACATTTCAAGTGTCAAGGAAACAATGGACAGTGCCCAGTAGTACAGCATGTTTTATCTTTCGTTTGTACAGAAAGAGATCCAGGCCATGAGTGCATGCCACCATGAAAATGTGGTGACTTATCACACCTCGTTTGTGGTGAGGGAAGAGCTATGGTTAGTGATAAAGCTGCTCTCAGGAGGTGAGTCATGTTTGTGATTGTCGAAAGGGACTTCTGTTCCTGATAAACTAACAGCGTTGGCATTCATTGCCTGACTAAGGTCTTTGGTACTTATCTGTTTTAGTTTGGTTTTGTGTTATTTGTTTAAAGATGGTGATACTACGTCATAAAAACAATCTCCCTGTGGAGATGTTTTAGTTTTCTCAAGTGTTCTATGTTGTCCTCTAACCATCAAAAAAAAAAAAAATTTGGTGATTGAAATATACTATTTTGGGAAACTGCTTGCCTCTGCCTTTCCATGCAAAATTTAAACAAGGAAATGATTCAATTATACTGTTCACTTCTTTAAGTGAAATCTTTTTTGTATACTAAATCTAAAAAAGAAAAATTCTTGTGACATGTGCTACATTTAGAAGTCCGAGACATTGTATAAAAAATGCATAAGTGCCTTTTATCGTAAGTATGACAACTACTGATTAGTTTTCTATGTAAAACGTTACAGCAAGGGCAGTGCAAGTACCGTGAAGCACTAACATGTGAAACACATACCTCTTAATTTTTTTTTAATATCTAATTGTCATGCTAATGATTTACTTACACAATATTCAGGGTCCCTGTTAGACATCATAAAGCACAAGATGAAGACCGAGGACTGCAAACATGGCGTCTTTGACGAAGCCACCATTGCCACTGTCCTCAAAGAGGTGCTCAAAGGTCTCGAATACTTCCACAACAACGGACAGATTCACAGGTGAGCTTTTAACATCTCCAAAGAGAACTTCTCTTCATGCTCGGCCTCTTTGTGGGTGGACAAGCAATTTTTGATGGAAGAGATTTGAATACATTTAAGTTTGCTTGTGCTTGTTTACAGAGATATCAAGGCTGGAAACATCCTTCTTGGCGAAGATGGTGCAGTGCAGATTGCAGGTCAGAGTTCTTCGTTTTTCCTAAAAACTGGTTTGACTGCACATTCTCAAAGGTAGTTTGCATTGTTTCCTCCAGCTTTGAGATTCTTACATAAAATGTCTTTTAAGGTTAAGCACAATAGAAGCCTAAAGGTTGGCTAGGACGCATTGTATAGACCTTGGTTGCCATAACAACCACCTTGTCGTCCACAAGTGGTTGTAATGCGGTCGGTCAGACTCACATCGGTCAGAACGCAAATGACTGAAAGCAGCCTTTAGTCGTGCAATGATGCATAAGTATGAATGAGACACACTCAGCTTTTGTTTCTCTGTAGTGTATGCAGTATTGTCACAAAAGTTTAGGTTTATGGGCGATTTTAATGCGGAAGTGTTCAGAGAGGGGAGGTGTGTGCAACACCTGTGGCTCGCTGCTTATCTGGTCGTCTTGGCTTGTCTCATCCCTAAGATTTTGGTGTGAGCTCTTGGCTGGCGACTGGTGGCGATCTCTCTCGGCAAAAGTCGAGGCACACTTTCGTGGGCACACCGTGTTGGATGGCTCCAGAAGTCATGGAACAGGTACGGGGCTGTCGGGACCTCGAATAGCCCATTTCAACCAATTTCTTACTTTTTTTTAGGTGGTATTATAGAGCAGCACCTTTTTTCATTTGGTAAAAAAGTGCTGACATAATAGGCATGCTGTAGGCCATGAAGAAAAAAAGAGCAGTCACCATATACCCGATTCTAAAGTGTCCCCAATTCTAATGGACACCCAGTTTTTATTACCAAGAATAATGGTTCTGACCTGCCCCAAAAATTTCATTTTCATATCTGATTGTAATGTGCAGGAAGCTTTAAGGTATATTCTTTTTCAAGAAAAGGTACACATTAGAGTTGAGTATGATAAGCACTATGTGCACTTAGTCTGTTTCTGCATGCAGAAGCGATCTGTAAAACTTGCAAAGATGATAGTGAGAATAAAAAAAAAAAAGGAACAGGCAAGCTAATTATTATTGTGAGACTGCAGAACACCAAAGGGGCAAACACACAAGAGCCTCTAGCCCCCCCCTTTTTTTGTTTTTATTTCAAGGTCAGCATGACAGGATGACATTTGGCATCCTTTCGTTCACAGGTGACAGGGTATGACTTCAAGGCTGACATTTGGAGCTTTGGCATTACAGCCATCGAGCTGGTGACTGGCACAGCTCCGTACCACAAGTATCCGCCGATGAAGGCGAGTTTTGTTCTTTCTCATTCATTCCGTGTGGACACTGGAACACACACTACCATAAACACCATCACTCCCATTTGTACATACTTGGTCATACACAAACGAGACGAATTGCTCAAAATGTTGTTTCCTCCTCAACTATGAGGCACTACTATGTGATTGGCAATCACTTTTACATTTGCAAATTAACCAATGCGGTGCGCCGGCATTGTGTCTATGCAGGTCCTGATGCTAACCCTGCAAAACGATCCTCCGACACTTGAGATGGCAAGTGACGACAAGGATCAGTACAAAAACTACGGCAAGTCCATCCGAAAGATGATCATCGAGTGCCTTCAGAAGGATCCCACCAAGCGGTAATATGCTTACTGAAACCAGCAGTGTAATGTCGGCAAGTCGAGCGAAAACTCTGGTGACTGAGGCACAGAAGGAAAGGTGGACGACGCAAACAGTCTTGAGACGACGGCTTGGTTGTCCACTTTCTTTCTTGTGAATGCTAGAATTGTGTGGGTGGCTTCTAACATGCACTGAACGCGGTATTTTGCCTTTGCAGGCCTACAGCAACTGAGCTCTTGAAGCACCAGTTTTTTAAGAAAGCCAAGGTAAGTTTTTGTTTTCAGATCTGATACAATAAATGCACATACTCACGTCTTCGAAACTGATTGTGTGATTTGTTGCAGGATCGGAAGTACCTTATGCAAACCCTGCTGACGTGTGCCCCTACGATAGAGGCAAGAGCACAAAAGGTAAGCTTGGAAAATAATACAGTTGTGCCTTCTGGTGATGTCTATACTAAGATCAGATGGACTCCTTATTCAGACGAGGGCTCTATGACCTTGACATCTTGGAGAAGTTGCACTACAGAATTCTATCTGTACAGTCATCTTTATTGTTATCAGCATTTTCTGGGGCAATTGTGACCCTTACTCATTTAATATGGTGTTTGAATTTAAAAGACAGTTTGGTATGTAAGAGGCTTCATGGAGGTGTCCTTGAAGGGCATAGGCATGCGACTTTAAATGTTTGCTGGTTTTGGGTATTTGAATAATTAGAGAACATTCAAAGAGTAGATAACAAGTTGTGCTCATTAGAGCTTGAGTTGTGCGAGAACATTAAAACATTGTCTTTTGGTCGCCAAACATCGTCATGTTTGGCGACACCCAAAACATGCGCGCCAATGTTCTCAAAACAACATCGGCATGCATGTTTTGATTAAATGAGTTGATACTTAACGGGGCACTAAGGTGGATTTTGAGATTGTCTTATTCCCTTTAATTCTAGTTGTGCTTGCCATTCCATTAGTGGTATTATACTGTACCAGATGTTGCACTACCCTGTTGGTGTTGCGAAGGATGACAGTGACTTTGTATTTTTAAATTCATGCTGCCATGAGCCGCTTGTCAATATCAGGAGGGCACATGTCTACTTGAAAGTTTAATGCCGATAGTCAGATTGTCTTGACACAGCATTTGGCTTGTGTCCCAGCTAGGCGAAATCACAAGCTTGTTTTGTGCAGGATTCTTAAGTTGCCATTACTATTGATGCTTGAAAATGAATGGGAATGAGGTCCCTTCATACTGTATATGTAGAGTGCATTAGCCCATAGCACACTATGTCTGCCTCCAGTCACTGACCAAGTTCTGCTGAGCAAAAATGGTATTGTAAGTGCTTCTCAAAATGCTTGTTTCTAGTTGGAGGTCTACTGGCTCAAATTTCGTTGCATGCATTCTCGAGGATTAATTTTTTTTTTTATTTGGTGGTACTGGGAAATCTGAATCACCATGCAGGAATATACAACATAAGAGAAGTTTTTCATTCCTCGTGCAACCTATCCTGAAGTGTAGGAGTCTAGGTTACTCTAAATTTAAACTACTGTGCAAAAAAACAACCGAGAACACTCTCGGAGGAATAAAAATTGAAGGTACTTAAAGTTTTGCACACACTTCGTGCTTTTCACTTCTGCTTTCTTCCTCGGAAGTGGAGAGGATGCCAAGCCAAGGAGATGAGGAAGGTGGAAAGATCTGCACTGCAGAAGATGACTTTGTATATGGGCCTGTAATTGTCGCAGAGACAGGGATTCTTCAACGATATATCCTCGACTCTACAAACAGTGGGGAGAGGCCCTCATTGTCTGGCTGCGGGAGACGGGGTAGACCCCTCTTAGTTTCTTCTTCCCTCGCATTTAGGGAGAGGAGGAAATCGGCAGGATGTTCTGCCTTCCAGAAGGTGCATTTCGCGCGCAGGCCCTTAGCACAGTGACGGAAGATTCCCATTAAAACCCTTGCTTCTACAAACGGTGGGGAGGGGTCCTCCTTTCCTGGCTGTTGAGAGGAAAAAGGTTCACTCTGGGTTGTGGGGGGCGCTCTCAGGCGGGGGGGGAGGATGGGGGTGGCCCAACAGCCGGACGACTCGTGTTGCAGCTGAAGAACAGCCGGAGGGTCCCCGGCACCAGTGGCCGCCTACACCGGACGGAGACGGGAGACTGGGTCTGGTCCGACGGCGAGGACGACGAGGATTCGCCCGACGAACGGGTGAGCCTTCACCTACGAAGTGTCGCCGAGGTGTCGCGACAGTTGCGGCGCTTTGGCAACACCCGAAACCTAAAGGTGCACCGAAAATGAAAAATAACTTGGCAGCGGCCTTTATCTTTAGAGGCCTAAATTTGTTTTGACATAAAAACTGTTGTTACGGGGAGAGAAGAAGAGCCTCTTGCTCATCAATATCCCCACTAAAGTCGGCTGGAAAATTTAATTCTCACGACGTCATAATAACAAGTTACACCACGGCTCAGCACCGTGTCATTGCATCATGTAACATCAATTTCCCCCGCTAAATTTAGCGGAGAAACCGAATTGATGTGTAGGTCACACGGTGCCAATTTCCCCGCTAAATTTAGCGGGGAAATCGAATTGGCGAATAGGTCACGTGTTACATTCATTTTATTGCTACAATTAATGCAGAAATTAATGTCGCGTGCCATCGCAGTGTCAAATTGTGGTGTCATGTGACGTCGGGTCGAGCGACAAGACTTTTTCAATTAAATTTAGCGGGGAAATTTCTGGAATTGGGGGGGGGGGGGGGTTTGATGAAAAGCCTTCTACACATTAAAGTCATACAGTTTTGCATTACTCGGCGATTGGTTGCTCGACGGGAAAGTGCTGTTATACAATGCAGGACCTTGCTGCGAGAGATGAAGCCATCCTGAAGGCGAACCAATCGACGAGCTCCTCGGACAGCGCCATCGACAACGCAGTGCCCGCGGATCACGACGCCACCACCACCTCTGGCACCTCTTCGGGTGGTTCTGCGTCGGGCGCGGTGCCCGCCAGTCTCCCACCCCAGCAGGTGCGTCTCAAAGTCTCTCTCTCTCGTAGCATCCGCTTCGTGGTTCCACCCGTTGCTCCCCTTTAACGCTGATTCTTTTTATGGAGGAGTGAACATGTGATATACTTGCACGAAGCATCCAATGTAAAGGTGTAGCCTAACCCGCATTGGAAAGATTCCTCCACTACATTAGAAAGTGTACATTCTGTTGCATGCGTTCCCAAACTGGGTTTCCGGAGAATGTTCCCCAGACCGTCGTCATGGATCTCCCAAACTTTCTCGACTGTCCGTGCCCCTGAGTAACGTGCATTTCCAGATAAAGCAACTTTTTGGTGGATTTCAGCCACCCATTGGTGCATATCTATGGGCAAAACAAGACACATTATAAATCTCTCTTATTGTTAACAATCTCCGTAAGTGTCTGCACTGCTTTGGTGCATCAGTGTCGAGACTGGGAGGGGTTCTTCAAAATGTTTGAGAAGAAAAGCCCCGTTCTATCACATCAACGTTTACCAATGTTAAGCTTCGCAAAAATATATTATTCTTTCATATCTTGTCATGCTCCGTGCAGAAGTTTGATATTCTTTTACATGAAGCTGCATTTACTCCAGTTTCCTTTCTCATTCTGCAGCTGTTATGCTGGTTCTCCCTGCTGGCTCTTGTGTGTCAGCTGTAATTTTACTTAAATAGTGTGTGAGGAATGCATTGCCTGATGTTTACACCGGCTCACTGTGGTCCTTTTGCCTTTAAATGGAATAAACATGCTGGGTCTTCAGTGCCCTTAGCTGTGCTACAGGGCGGACGAATAGAAGGATGCAATTTGTTTGCAGCCAGCCGCACCGGTTGCTGAGCTTGCGCTGAATGACGTCCAACCTCCGGCTGTCCCCTCTGCAGTAATCTCAACCGAAACGATGAACCTTGTCCTCAGGATAAGGTGAGTATGTGCTTTTGGGCCGTGAGTGGCGTGGTGAAGTGATAGGTGCAACTTGTTTGTGTTGCCAACTGTCACAGTGATACTATCTTTTCATAGTGGGCAGTATCACTAAGGAATTTAGATCTAGCTCTCATCTAAGTGAGAGGATGCTTTATTCATAGAATCAGATCTATATGGACTGGTCGAAATTGTATCTTGTATATTCTATCTTGTGTTGTACCAATTGCACATTTCTTAGAAAACATACCATTGTTCTGAGGAACATATCTACACAAAGGAGAGCTTTATCTTTAGTAAATATTTGCATTTACACATTGTTGCGAAGCCATTCATATAGATTAGACTGAGATACTTCAGATAATGAACGTTGCTGTTGAGATGTGCAGACATCGATGCTTTAAAAATTTATATATCATCGGTTGACTACCAAAGAGTGTATTGTAGATAGTTTATCAAATGTTTTAAGAGGAAATTTTGTATTGCTATTTGAACATCTTTGAAAAGCAGCTACAAACAATCCGATAGAGTAATCGCCATCTTATTTCGGTTTCAGGAACCAAAGGAAAGAGCTCAACGACATCAGGTTCGAGTTCACACGTGACAAGGGTGAGTAACCAAAACAAATGCGAAGGATAGTAGTTCTCATAAGCTACAGAATTTACCAACACTTAATGAAGAAGGCCAGCATACCAGTTGTACATTTAAATTGCTAACAGTTTCCAAAAGGCTAATCTTTGCGAGTGTATGCCAAACAATTGGCACAGTAGATCCAACTAGCCTGACTTACTTTTTTCCTACGATGACTTTAAAGGTTTTACAAATGCATAACACTGTACTTTTTAACGATATTTCAGACACGGCGGACGGCATTGCATCTGAGCTCAAGGGAGCTGGTCTCGTAGACGGAAAGGATGTCGTGGTTGGTAAGTGTACAGCTTCTGTGCAAATGGCTCTTATAATGGTACAATGCCTACAGTAGTGACGGTGTATACTACACGCAAAATTAGAATCAACCCCCCCCCCCCCAAAGAATAATTCCTTGCTGCGCCACTGGTACTTCCAATTGGTTAAATGTCACACAGATTTCTAGCTCCTACACCTGTTCACTACTATATTTTATTTTATAAACAGTTACAGTCAGTGGAGCATAATTCTAATAACTTAAAGTTAATAACATAATTTATTCTCGCTATATTTTTACAACAACCAAACAGTACTGCCCTTACTAAAAGTAGAATGTTTGACTCCATGATTTATTCATCGCCATCCAGTACAAAGCCGACTGAGCCAGCCCGTTGCGCATGTGCATACCAGTCAAACCGTAGTCGAACTTTCTCGAATAGAGACTTTCCATTATAACTATGATTACTGATTCCAACTAAATATTCTTAATCTGAAATTCAGATTGAACGGAAATGCATTATGAGATGCACCACTTGCTGATGGTAACTCTGTCAAACAGCCATGACATTTCAAGATCCCTCCTCGATGTCATTCTTGAGAAAAATTAATATTTTCATTTTTCGGATAATATTGGTTACCAATAAATAATTCACGGTTACGGTTTTCATAAATTTCAAATAACGGTTTCGCTCCAGTTATGGTTACTGAAAAAGTTTAGTTCCTAGGCGGTTTTCAGTTACGGTTTGAGTCCCTGGTTGACGGAGCAGAAAGTGTAGACAAACTTAAAAAACTTCTGAAACAAAGAAAAAAAAAAGGAAGGCAGAATAGCTGTTTTCCTGGGCACCGAGCTGGGAAAACGATACAAAGCTGGACGGCAAGAGATAGACTTGACATCGCGGCTTCTGTCACTCATTGCGCCACCGAGATACAGCTGCGGCATTGTGGCCCTCGGCGGCTAGCAAAGCGGCGCCCGGCGCTGTCAGGGCTCACGTGGTCTGTAAACTTCTGTGGCCGACTGTACTCGCGATATGCTTGCAGTAGTAACAACCTCCCCCGGTGTTGTAAAATCAGGCGAAACAAACAAGGTTTTTACTTTATAGCACCTCATACATCACTTCTATCACCTTAGTCAAGTTGAAGAAAGTCTTTCCTGCAAAAACTATATTTATAAACATAATTTTTTTGGTTTGTGAAACATGATACAAAAGGAGAGTGGCATAATGAAAATGTTAAGTCTGAATGACTTGCTGTGGGGACCATAATTCTCAAAGATGTGTTTCTCCGTTTCTTTCTCAGTGGCCGCTAACCTGCAGAAGCTCATTGATAACCCCACCATGAAGACCACCACTTTTGCCTTGGTAAGATTTTTGGCGGACCTCATTCTTGCATTGTGATTCATCGCTTTGGAGAGCAAAATAATGCGGGTCAAGGATTTACTGTAATGGCCTTGTAAATATGTAATTTACAACACCACATTTTCTTAGTTCTTGTTGTAATGATTAGATGGGAATTGTAAGCAGTGATAGAGTGCAGGCGAGCTGGTAATTAATCGACATCTTGTAAACCCTGAGATATGGAACAATAAAAAAAAAATGGACGAACACAACAAAATCTTTTCTTGTGTTCGTCCGTTTTTTTATCGTTCCCCATCTCGGCGTTTACAAGATGTCGATGGGAAAAGGGGAAATGCTCGTGACACATTTCCTTAGACAAGAAGAAAAGCCGGCTGCTACAAATGTTGATGTGTACTCATGGCATTTATGAAGATGGGCCATCACTTCTTGTGCGAGTCCACTGCGGGTTAAGAATTACTGTAATATTTCAAAAAATAGTTCGGCCCCTAAGAAAATTTAATGGGCCGGAAAAGATTAAGTAGGCCATCTTTCGGCGTGCAACTGAATAAAAATAAACATGCCATATTAGTTGGGAGAGAAAGAAAGAATATTGCTTATTCACTTGCCTTCTAAAATGCCAAAAGAACAATCACTGTGGCTGTCGAATCTCATATTGCCCACACCTTTGTGCAAATTGTCTGGTAACACAATTTCAAGGGTGGGCTATCTTTAGGGCCAGGGAATGTCTTGCGACATCACATAGTGGTCTTACTTCGAGAAAATGTGGTTTAATCTCTACTAATTTACGTACTGTAAACAACTTATTTTTTGCAGGCTGAATATTTCGCGATTTAGGTCAAAGCTGAAGCTTTCGAATAATTCGTGGGTTCTGATTTTCGCGACCCGGTGGGATCTCAATATAGATTCCAGTGTGTTTACATTTTACCGGAATTGTTCGCGGGACCATTTTTCGGTCCTTGCGAAAATGAAGTCGTTTACAGTATACAGCAAAACCTCTTTATAAGAGACCTGGTTACAGCAGGCGTTCGGTTATAACACCGATTTGTGAAGTGCGGTTGGTTTTCCTATCTATGCCACAGAGCCAACTTCGCTGATTACAAATTTTGTTGTACTGTACATTTGGATATAACGAACTATCTTAGTGATTTTCTAAGTAGTTCACCATTCCATTATAGTGGGCACTTTGACAGCAGTCATTATTTTGAACATTATGTGGCTTTGGTTCGGGAACGATGGCGTCCATTTTGCGAAGTGCCTTCATTGCACTCAGCACTTTGCAAGCCTCACATTGCCCAAAGCGTGCAGTGATGATGATCACCGGTATAGCTCAATGAAAAATCACTATGTTTCAAAGTTTGTAAGTTTTCATAAACCAGTTTTTTTTATTATTCATTTACATTTCGTCAGTCTCACTGGTTAGAACAGGCTCGAGTCACAAGTCTATAGAAAGAGTATCTGCATTCTCCTTTTACAACAGACCAAAATCTTTATCACTATCAAGGTCTGTTATAATGAGGTTACACTGCATTTCCTGTCAGAGAAAGCACCGGGAAAGTCCGCAGAGAGTTGAGAGAGGCTACATCCTGGATCTTGTTGGTTTCCCTTTCAGAAGCAGACCGACGTCTCTGCCGCTCCCGACGCCCCCGACGACAAGGCGCTCATTGGTTTTGCTCAACTTTCAATCGTAGACTAAACCGGAGCAAGTGTTGAAAGTTGGCAGAACCCAGCGCTGCCCACAAGACACCCCACCACCCCCTTTTTATTTAATTGGCCGCAACGGGGCAGGCGCCGTCACCTGCCCCGCACAAAAAAGAAAAAGGAGGAAAACGGCAGTCGCTATCGTTCCCTTTTGTAAAGAGTGTAAATTTCGCCGCTTAACCACGCGACAGAGAGAGCGAGAGACTACATACAGGAAACTGCCACCGGTGGCGCCACACGTCTTCTCACAAATCCTCTAGACGCCTGCACTTTTGTATAAGCCTTAGACGCGACAGCGGCGACCAGGTGCCGCCGCCTGTGCCATTGCAAGACCCTCCCCATTTCGACGAGCGGCTCTGTCTCTTTCGCGTTCCCTCGGCGACCGTGCGGACCAGGGGGCAAGGTATGCAAGTGTACCATAGTCGCGGATCCGCTGCCTTTCACAGCCCTTCCTCCCCCTCCCCTTCGTGGAGCATTTATGTCGGGTGAAATGCCACTGTGGTCAGTTTAATTTATTCAGAGGGAGTCCTAGATGCAAAAAAATAAACAGTTTTCAGAGGAGATTCGTCCACGTATGTGCTTATTCTCGGCGGCGGAGCATTCTGTCGCAGACCGGCGCTGCATTGCCGTCTGGGTTTGCATCATTTATGGTGCAATTTCAAGTTATTGAAATTGGTCCACAAAATGGTTATGCGCGAGCTCCTCGTCGCACCATGCTATATAGTGACCATGCTTGAAGCTGCTTCATAAGCTATGCTTGGGTAGTGTTCCAAAATTCACTCAATCTCGCTCTAGGTTAAAGGTTTCGTACATTGGTGTTCGAAAACCTATCAGCATCCAGTGTTGCTCTGTCTTGTCAGGTAACATGATCTGCCAGAGTAACTCGGATCCCTTCCAGTAAGATTAGGAACACGGCCTTAGAGTAACATTTTGGCCATCTTATTGTCGAAAATCATTGTTGCCAGCTATCTTAATATTCACCTGAAATTGCAGGATATTCTTTTCCCTTCTCCAGAAGTCTCATCTTTGCAAATGTGCCTGCAAAATGGTGGCACCCACAAGACATTTTGAGAATAAAGTGTTGATACCCTAGCATTAATCATTTCTGCTTAAAGAAAATAAACTTGGTGGTGTGAAATCTTCACGTTCAGCAAAGTCACAATGATGGCCATCCTAATTTCATTGTCGTGTCGCTGACTTGTTTTCGCTCGAGGAATTTGAAGGACGGCTGAATGATGAGACATATAAGGCCTTAATAATGATACCTAAAATAGTTGCACGGTTATTCTGCATGAAACTAACTTCTGTACCAATTCAATATGCCATGCATTGCTAGTGCCAGCAGTTTGCTGACATACCACACACATTTTGTTTGCATTTTGCCAGGATGATGATGATTGGAGGCTTTATGGTGCAAAATGCTACCGAGACCAAAGTGCACCAAAATAGGTTGTTCATTCACATTCTAGTTAAAATGGGATGTTGCTTGTCATTATCATGGATGTAAAAAGCCAGTGCTAGGAATAAAATAAAGCACGTCATGTTCAAATGGTATATGAGGGTAATCTCCAAGTAAAAGAACAGGGTGAAAAGGTATAGTATCTAAACAATTCAGGAAAATGATGCTGCTATTTTTCATCAAGACGAACAGATCCATAGAGTGTGTAGGATGGAAGCATCATCTCTGCAGCGTCTACTTTGTGGTGGACCTTTGCCATAGAGGAGATATTTGTGGATTATACTATAGGAATGGCCTATGCAAAGGCGACATAATACGACCTGATAGAATCGGTTCTTTAAAGAGGCACTCTCCCACAGTCCAAGAATGGGCTTGGTGAAGTGAAGCTATTGCCAGATTCTTTGTCCCATCCTGTTTGCCATTTCTGGAAAATTGATGCCCTCACGACTGGTTTGATGTCCTGGAATGGTAAGGAGGCTGCTACCTGCCAAAGGTTTCTGGAGGAAGAAGCGAGCCTATCAGCTTTCTCATTACCGATTATACCTACATGACAGAACCCAGCCAAGTATAATACAATGTCCGTTCTGCAGTGCACATGTTGGCATGCACAAGCTGTACAAGCATATTTTTAGTGTCTGAGGGAACTAATTGCAGTGATCACACTTTGCAAATCCACATATGCCGCATAATCAACCTTACTGTTCTTTTCAGTCTAATATGGTCAACTGCTAACATACAGGTCTGCTGTAAAGATACATACTGGCATATCAAATTAAGGCGCTTAGTTCTAAAAAGTTCTCAGAATGCACGGCACATCCAGTGAAGGATTGAGCCTTAGCACCATCGGTATAAAACTGACAATCAACATACTTTGTCTGTTGCAGGATAACCGCCGAAGTAACGCAGCACTTACTATATTTTGTAAGCAACCAATCGCAACAAACCAGCAGTCTCCCAGGGAGTAATACAGTCAACTGGTGAAAGTAAAGACATTCCATCAGGAGAAATCTGAATAGATGTACGATAGTCTGCAAGGTTGAAGTTTAATGGCCGCACAATGCTGGGCTTGTTGTCGGAAAGGCGAGAGAACCTTGAACGTTTTATGGAATCATATGTTGGATGGCAAGTGATAGCCAAGATTTTGTAGACATATGTCTTATTTAGATATTGCAGTCTTTTATCCCAACTACAACTCGTTGGACTCGGTGCGTAAACTCAGAATCGGGTATGTACAAAAAACACCCGTGGCAAGTCGTAAACCAAGATGGTGCGCTGGATCCAACATTTTCACAGCCGATTGTTGTGCTGATCCGTACACTATAGCACCATAGTCAAGACGGGATCGCACAAGGTAGAGACACAGCAGACATCTATCTGATCCCCAAGTCGACTTTTAAGAGGTTCATACTTTTAATACATTCTTCCTTAAGACATACACTTCAATAGACTGATCTCACCAGCTAGTTTAGGTACGCCACCGCTGCCGCCTTGCAGCGTGGGAGCCGTAGTCTTTCTGCACGCGCGACAACCCCGCTGGAGGTCTGCGCGAGCAGAGCACGAGGCGGCATGAGCTCTCTCATGAACTGGCGTCTGCCTCCTACGAACTACAGTTATGGCGGCGTCACGCATGCGTGGAACGCTTGGTGAGATCGGTCTATTGGGAAATAAAAGTAAGTTTCCTGTCAAAGATCACAACCAGAATGCTGTGCTCACTTTTAACAGGCATTCACGTGGCTTTTAGTTCAACGATCTGGATTCAAAGGTAGCCTACGGTGCTAGGAAATGGCACACAAACCGTTTTCTCTGGAGAAAACATAAAACCATTATCGTCCGCCCAACTACTAAGTTCGTTGAAAGCTAACTGAAGCTGGCGTTCACAGGTGAAATTTACAAGAGGAGCACGAGATTTGAAGATTGTCTACGTAAAGTGAGTATGAGTTGGAAGACTGGAGAATTCTGGCAACGGAATTTATCTTGACCGCAAACAAGGCGGCGCTTAGGATGCCCTCTGAGGAACTCGCTCGTCTTGTGCATTCTTTCCTTTGTCCTTGTGTTTTTGCGCACTGCTACCAGTTGTAATCATGAACCAACTCGCCTGCATCGTCACACTGAGGAACTTTGTTTTCTTGAACAAATGGATCTGACAAAGTAGAGCCAAGTCGAGCCTGGAATGTCCTAGCCGTCAAAAAGTCTCCTATACACTTCAGCATTCGGCCCCTATTACCATAGCTGTAAAGGTCTAAGTATTCCAAACCTCCATGTGGTATCGTATGCTTTTTCCAAGTCGAAGAAAACAGACGCAGTGTTGTTTATGCACGAATGCTTCGTGGATTATTGTTTCCAGGCAGACTAAGTGATCCACTGCAGTTTGTCTGTGACGAAAGCCACACTGGTTCCTTGCAAAGAGACCTCTCTTTTTCTAAAAGGTACATTAACCGTCTGTTAACCAGCCTAATGTTTTTCCCAGGCAGCTAGTGAGTGCAGTGGGTCGGTAAAGGGAAGGGAGCACAGTGTCTTTGCCATGTTTCAGAAGCGGTATAATATCAGCCCACTTCTGTGCTTGGGGGAGGTATGCCTTCTCCTACACAGTTGAAAAAAAGGAGGAGAATTCTTAGCGAGTCACGTGACAACTTTCGAAGCATAGCATAGCGCAGTACGTCTGGCCCCAGAGCAGACATCCTTTTTACATTGAGAGCTTGTTCTAGCTCGCACATTGTAAAGGGCCCCCCATAGAGAGATGGGGCAACTCTCTGCGCGAGATTTAAACTGTCTCAATTCAGCACTATAATTATCAGAGCTAGATACACTATGAAAATGCTGAGCAAGAACATTAGCAACATCTTTGATAGACCCCAGAGGCAGATTAAATACTGGGATCGTAAAAAACCAGTAGTCACTTTGATTTTGCGTACATGATCCCATACCCCTAGTCGAAACGAAACTACTCATAAAGAAGAAATATTTAATCCGTGATCTTTTTCTTTTTTTTTGCCTGCTGTCTTGTCCAGCGGGTTTGCGCTTTTCGTCTCTTAAATTCAATCTTGTTCTTTGTGGTGGGGTACCTACCAGAAAACATCCCAGGCTCCATTTTTTGTTTGAACAATCTTTGTTCCACCATGGCTTGCACTTTGGTAAATTACAGGAGGTATGTGGGATAGAGTGCTCCGCAGCATTGATTATCTGTTGAGTAACATATGTTGTAGCCTTATCAGGGGAGAGAATGGCCAATAGTGAAGTATCATGTGTAGTAGCTAGACTGAAACATTCCCAGTCCACCTTGTCAAGTTTCCACCTAGGCATAGGTTTTTGAAGTGTGGGGAGACCGACCACACACTCTAAAACAACTGCAAAGTGGTTGCTGCCAAATGGATTCTCTCAAACTTTCCAAGAAAAGCAAGGAAGCAAAAATGGCAATAAAATGGATAAATCAATGCAAATGAAAGCGTTGGGGCTTTGTTATTTAAAAGACATAAATTTGAAGACAATAAAGGCCATTCAAAGACTCCTCCGTGGGAATCAATTTGTGCACTGAACCACATGGTGTGATGAGCATTAAAACCACCAAAGATTAAAAGAGGTTGCAGAAGTTGAGTTAAAGCTTCTGAAGTGGGTCCGGACATTTCGTCGAACGCCATTTCATCGAACGCTGTTTCATCGAACGCCATTACAGCCTGCAATATTTTTGCAATTTATTTTGATTTTTATACACAACGTCATCTAATTCTCCCTTTTTTTAAATCGGAGTATGCAGTGACGAGATAAGTTCCATTGTGAACATGTCCTGCTTCGAGAAGAAAGCCTCCATGAAACAATGACCCCTCTCAATGTCACATGAAACAATTAAAAATGAGACAAAAAAAAACAGAAAGCACGATGTGCTTTTTGGGAAGCGGGTAGTGTTTTATTGTCTGACAGCGTGTACCTGTAACCTTGGGTTATGTGAGGATCCGAAAGGGTTCTGTCTTCTTGGGTGACAGCTAGTACACCCAGGGCTTTACTATTGTCTGGTGCGGGTTGGCCTTCCTAAGAAAGCGTCCTGAAGATGATTCATAGGCAAAAGGGTCGGTAATAAAGTTGACAGTAAAGGAAAGGTGGTTCCAGTCCAGGTGTAGCCCGAAACCATGTTGGCTGACACTTTGTGCAGCTTTTGACTCCTGTAGAGTTTGAAAACTAAAAAAGAAATAGCAGGAACGTTCAATCTGAGCATAAAGCTGATAACCAGAGCATCATTATATTTTATTTCGTGTGCTCTCCTGGCAGAGTATAGTTTTATTATAAGCGTGCTGCTCTGGCAGTTAAATGCTTTTCGTGAATAAACCTTCAACTAAGCGTAAGTGTGCAAACGAGATGGTGTGAATTGCACATTACCGAAACCCTCGGACAGCCGGTAAAGAAAACGACACAGACATTCAAAAGTATTTTAAGTGTTGGTCCTTTACCTCCAGTGTCATGTTTTCAGACAGGTACATGAGTAAAACTTTTCAGTAAGTCGCATACCCATTTGTTTTTATACCAATGGTTTTTATTTCTAGCAATTTGGCTCCACCCTAAAAACAGTTTCACAAGTGACTACCTTAATCTTAACAAAAGTAAGGTAAAACATCTATAAAGCACTGTTATGCCCCAAAACTCGATACAGAGAAATTCAATGAAACGGCCCTTAGCGATTCAATGAAACGGCGTTCTATGAAATGGCGTTCGATGAAATGTCTATTCATTCGATGAAAAGGCGTTCGATAAAATGTCCGCTACCCCTTCTGAAGGTCATGAAATTGGGAGTGTGTGGTGGAAGGTACAGTGAAACAATAGTAAAGAGACGGTCAGTAACAACTCATGCTGCCACAGCCTCGAGGGGTATGTCAAGGGGGACCTGGGCACATGCCACTCCACTCTGCACAACAATTGCAACACCACCGGATGAATGAGAAGATGGGCGTCTTTGCGTAAGAGGTGATAGTTTCATAAAACTTGTGTATGTGCAAACATCAAATGCTAGAGCTAGTGGACATATCACATCATCTATACTGTGAAGGAGGCCCCGACTGTTCCACTGCATGAATCTAAAGTGACTTATCACACACCTTAATTAAAATACTGTTAAAAATGAAAGCCATTTACAAATCCCTGTAACGCCGAATTGGAGCGCAGCTCTTGAGGAGGAGTAGGGAAGGGTACTGAGGGGGGTCACGTCACCTGCGGGTAGTCACGTGACCCGGGGGGGTCACGTGACCCCCCTCCCCCCCGGTTACGCCGACGCCGCTCAGGCTGGAAACGGGCCCCTAAGAGCTGCGCTCTAAAATGTGGGGTTCACACTGTAAGCAAGGGACACAAGCTAAGTTACATCCGTTAGGACAGTGACACGAGGTTTTTTCTTCTGGTTCCCCTTTGTACTACCTCCCTTGGCGGGTGGAGGTGGTTCTGTCGGATCGGCAGATACCTCTATGACCTCCTCCTCCTGCTGCTGTGAAGTGGAAGGAGGGGACCCCTTGCTGCTTTGTGGGGTGAGGGGTGTGGCTTCAAGCACCACTCAGCTCCTCTGGGCTGCAGCTGACACGTCTTTGTGGATTACTTCGGTCCGGACCCTTTTCAAGGTCCGATCGGAGAAGGATTTTTGGTTTGGAACCCATATGAAGGGCAGAAACTTCGGCGCCTGTAGTGCACCGCCCACCACGAAGTCCAGCAAGGGGATAGGTAACATCTCAAAACAGGTCTGGCTTGTCTGATAAATGTTACTCTACCAGTGCTACTAGCTGATACTATAACCAAGTGTGGGTAAAGAGAGAGTTCTGTTGCCGCCCAAGGTTAGCCCTTGCTGCAAAAGAAGGTGAAATAGAAAAGAGGAGGAGAAGAAGGAAGCTAAAGATAGGAGAAGAGAAGAAAGGCAACTGACTGAATCATCCTGGTCAGGCCAAGCCAGGACATTTTTCTCTGAGGTGGGGGCCAAAGTGGGGTATTGCCTCACCCGGGGGGCCCCGAAGGGTCCCAACCTACCCCGGGCTCGGCTCTACTATCAGGGTGCCCTTTTTCCGGACATGGGAAAGCCACGCACACCCAGGCGTGGGCAGGCGAACCCGCATGGCTCGAGGTCCATGGTGACACCACTCACCAAATACCTGCTTTCACAGGAACTAACATTCAACACAAAAGACAGAATAACAGGTACTTAAGCTTTTATTTTCAAAATGCCTATTTTACTGCATTGCAAATACACCATAAACTGGGTGGCGATGACTTGTCCTTTTTACCAAATGAGTTTGCCTATATTTTTGGCAATCTCTTATTTACAGTTTATACATTTATGCACTTATTTCTCGAAGTAGAGGGCCTAACTTAACAAATAAGGTTTTGCAGAAGTTCTGTAATGTACTTTAAAGTTGCAGTCACATACGGTAAAAGGCCGATTAGTGGGACCCTGTCTGACTTAGGACTTTGACTAGAATTTTTAGTGATATCTTTGCCACGCACAGCAATCATACGACACTTCACTGTTAGTGAAATAGCCATCTTTTTTGGTCGATTTGCACTGAAAACCACTAGACCACCTCGAATGATCGAAACAGAAAAGCAGTTCTGCATATAGAATGATCACTGTTGAGCCTTGCTGCCAACCAAGAAAAAGCGAGCTTCTTCTAGAGAGCAGCATTCGCCATGCAAATTTTGCATACCCTGACTGTGAGAGATGTCTCAACAAGACCTTGGTACCCCCATCACCTGAAGACGTTCGAAATGCTTCTTTTGATTTGTACACTGGGAAAGACTGTTCTCCACTCTGACACTGATTCTGCACTTATTTTGCAACAGAAGGAGACGTCCAGGAGGTTAAGCAACTTGTTGTCGTTAAGAACTCTGCAACAGAAAAACAAAGAAAGAAGGAAAGCATTTCTCAGCTGGATGTGGCAGAAGAAAGGTACAGATTGAAGCACAAAAATTACAGTTAAGTGCAAAAGTTGGTGGGACATTATTGTTTCCTGCTTTTCCTTTTTACATCTTACAAACATGCTCAGTTTACCCTTGAACTCATTCAGCTAGCTGCATTGATAGACATTATTTTGACATGACAATGGGCCATAACCAGTTAGGGATCATACTGCCACGAGGGAGAGGAAGACTGGCTGTTGCAGGTGCCGTGGCTGAGTCGGCGGTCACGAGCCTGCGGCAGCCAGTTCGAATTAGACCCCGCCATTGAGCAGTCTCCCAATCATCGTAACACTGTACATAAAAATGGTTACTTTATTTGTAAATATTTTGTAATCTTCTTGTTAATGTTTAGTACAATAAAACCTGCCAATGAATGTTGATGTGCCAAATAAGCCAAATAAATTTATACCATTATGGTAAAGCAACTGAGACCGGATGTGAAAAAAAACCTTGAAACAACCAAAAGTAAAAGAGACAGAGAAAGAAGCCAGTCAGACGATGTCTCAAACTCAGCTAGTAATAAGTTTATTCGGTAAATTTCTTATATACACCTTTGAAACCAAGGTCGTCACCAACCAACACAACAAACAAAAACAAAATCCTTTTGTCTTTCCTATCTTCTCTAGAAACTATGCAGCCACCTATGTACAGCTGCAACGGAAAAAGAGTAGCACAAGTGAGCGATCACCGGAGCGGCAAAATCGTGATACGCGGCGCTATTGCTTCCGATCGCGCCGATAGCGAGAGTGCCAGTCACGTTCCATATCTCAACGCGGGGGCGGCCGGCAGAAAATTGAGGGATAATATAGCTTTCAATATCCGGGTTTTAGGATGGGCTGCTTTCTGACAGCCACCCCCGCGTTAAGACATGGAACGTGACTGGCACTCTCGCTATCGGCGCGCTCGGGAGCAATAGCGCCACGTATCGCGATTTTGCCGCTCCGGTCATCGATCACTTGTGTTATTCTTTTTCCGTTGCAGCTGTACACACTTATGACACACCACAACCTTTGTTCGAACGTGGAGTGACTGTGCAAGGCCATGGCGTGTCATAAGTGGCTGCAAAGTTTGTAGAAAAAATAGGAAAGAAAACAAGATTTTGTTTTTGTTTGTTGTGTTGGTTAGTGACAGCCTTGGTTTCAAGAATGTGTATATAAGAGGTTTACTGAATAAACTTATTAGCTGAGTTTGAGACGTCGTCTGACTGACTTATTTCCTCATCTCTTACACTTTTGGTTGTTTCAAGGTTTTGCTCACACCCAGTCTCACGCGTTTTAACATAATGGTAAACTTACACCAGCTCGCCTGCGCCCTCAATGTGTTTTTAAATTCATACCATACCTAATTAAGTTAATTATGTTATCAATGTGCTACAAACTATACTTGGGTATCTACCACAATGGTGGGACAAAAGACTGCATAGTAGATTCGCAAGTTTGGTAAGGCAAGATTAGTTGTGCAGTGGCCCTCCATTTTTACAATCCTGCATCATTCGACACAATTGTGCACTACATAGAATGAAGAGTTGCTTCTAGATGCAAAACAAGATTACTATCGTTACACTGAGAAATGTGATGAAAAATAAACGTTAAAGAACAAGAAGACCAAAGTCTTCACAACTGCAACACACACTGCATAATAAAACGCACCGCAAATCAAAGCTCGAGCATTCTTACCAACAAGCAGGCTCATATTTTGGATCGTCACGTACGAGCAGATATAGTAAATGATACCCTTTCCGCCGACTCACCGCAACACTCCAGCAGCGGTTGCTTCAGAGGAGCCCAAGATATCTAACTGCTCTAGATGCTTGCAGTAGTTTGCAATTGCAAAGAGATCTGCGTCGCAAACCACCCTGAAATAAAATGGCTCTTAGTGAAAGGCACGACAGATGCCTCTAGCCTGGCAAGCGTACCGAATGGCAGTGAAGAGAAGCCTCCTCAGATTCGGACACTCCCTCACTAGCTCCGGGATGCATCCAGACTCTACGCTTGTACTGGACCGAAAATTGTAAAAAGAAGTAAAGAAAAATGAGCAGTTTCGCGTTAATATACAGTATGGTCCCAGCGATAGACGTCACAGCAAAGTCGTTGGCTCAATTTGCTTCGTTCTCACGAGCGTGCACCTCGCAGTCTTCTGTGCGACGAATGGCGAGATTGTGCCTTTCAACGTCTTGCCACAAATGCGACACTATAGTCAGTTACAGGTTAAGAAGGTAGCGGCAAATGCCCCTCAAAGGGAATCAGATATCCCTCCGCCACCTCCGCATCCAGTAGCGTCCCACCGTTTCCTTGACGTCGCGGCCAACGCGCGAGGAGGGTCTTGCCTTTCTGTACATATTTGCTTTATTTTTCGACTTTGACTTAGCATTGTGAAAGCCACGAGAGGGAGATTAGAGTTCTCCCCCACGGACGGAAACAAATACAACTTTCGGAGATTAGCTTCCCCCCCGATGGATACAAAGGCTGCTTTCAGGGGCTCGGTTCCCTCTCCGATGAATACAAAGGTCGCTTTCTTAAAAAGTAGGATCGGAGACAAGTTGGAATCCATTGAAGCGGAACAAGGAGCGTTTCCAGTGAACTCTTCTTTCGACTGCGGAGAGATTTGAAACGGGCGCATCACACTTGTGGGAGGAGCTTCTCCTACCTTCTTGACTTGTAACCGACTATAGCACGCGGCGACGCCAAGACATTCGTGTCTGCCACTTTGCGCCATACTCTGGTTGAGTTTCAGCGCGTTTGTCGGTTAAGGCCGTCCAGGAATCCACTAACGATGACGTAATGTGCAGCCCCTTCTTCTAGGCGTTATTGGGTGGATAGACACGACTGAACCCTTTAAACCGGCCAAAGCTTTTAATTTCAACAATTAACTCCAATTAAATTTGAAATTAATTAAGTATGAAGAAGAATTTTCTATGGCGACATCGCAGCAACCGCGGCCATCTAGCGGGTACTACTAAAGTTTCACTGACATCACACTGCCAAACAGATGCTCGAGAGTGTCCCAGGCACTAGGCGTTTGCGCATGCTTCAAAGTTAGCATGGGACGTGCTTCTGCTTTGAAGACAACAGAATCTGTGTAGCTGCTTTCCAGAAATAAGACGAGCAGGAAACTACCCATTCTCGATTGATCGAAGGCAGTTTGTAAGCACCGAGGTGTTCGCTGGACTTGAGCATAAAATTTCACCTGTCCTACGTGATTCACAGCTTTGGGAATTTTGTTAGATGCCAAACGATTGAGAAGTCCCGAAAGGCTCTTCAATGACCCTAGTAATCGGAACTAAGAAACGCAGTCGCGACTCCTCCAAAAAGTTTTCTTTTCAGGAGGTAATGACTGGCCTTCCCTCTGACAGAACGACACCTTTTGAAACAGCGGAGACGTTTTTAATATCGTACGACATTGAGCAAATCTGCCCATTCATTTAAAATAATATGGGGGTTACATGCGATTTGACCCTAAGTCACAAGCTTTTAATAGATGTAGAGTACATCAACATAGTAATATTGTCTTAAGAGAAGATTGTAAACTACTTAAATGAGACAATGAGAAAAGATGGATGGAAGCCAACTCACCACCATCCCAAGTCCAGGCTTACAAGGCGATGACAAGACCTGGCCAAAAGATTCACTCCTACGGCGGACAGTGTCCTTGCACGAAACAGGTCCAGGCTTCTGATGCCCCTTTCAATGCAAAATTACATACCTTTAAATTTGCGCATTCATTTGAAGAACTGAAGGAAAAAATATAGACATATGCCCTCAAAATCTAAAAAGTTGGAGGTACTTTCAAATGTTTCGGTGGAGGTGGAACTTTACTGAAGGTAAGCGCACATGAGAATGCCAGTAGACTAAATTTAAATGATCCCCGGAAATTAATGCAAGCCACCCCACCTTGAGGTTAAATGCAAAGGTGCACCTAGCTTTAATAAAATTTTTTGAGATACATGCCCTACCTTGAATGCACTCTTCATATTCGGCTGCAAGTCAATTAATGTCAACCACTCGCAACAATGGGACTGGACTCTATTCATTGGCAACAATTGTATGGTAGTATGTCACTATGAAAGCAGGTGAACATATCCAACCTCAGGTACGTCCCCAACTCCAATGCAATGTCGTCATAGTTGTTCACAATGGGGCAACTGCCAAGGCAGAGATGATCAAGATTTGAGCAGCTCCTAAAACAAAGACAACCACCAGAATTGCTCTAGTAAATTTTAAGTAAAAGTTTTCTGCACTTCAGTCAGGGATGGGCAAAAAAAATTCAAATATGTATATAAATACAAATACAAAATACTTTGTCAAAAATGTATTTAATTAGAAATCTAATTACTTTTCCAAAAAAGCATTTAAGTACAAGATACAAATACAACCAAATGTATTTGGTCTCCTCTAATTACTTTTCCAAATACATTCCTCAAAATTTGCGTCAGCGAATTCAGGGCACCTGCAACGGGTTTCTGGGCATCTCATTTTAATTTTGCATCGCACACTCGGGAGTTAGTGTTTGATGCTCTAGTAACGTAATAAAAATATAATCACCAAAAAATGTAAGCAGCTTGGAAGTAATAGGTGAAAAAAGTACAGAGCTTCAAGCAGCTTTTTTAGTCGATTACATTTTGGTATAGACCAACAAAACACCGAGACGACCAAGACGCGCAGCATTAGCTAGAGAATTTTTTATCGTTGCAACTCGCACCAGTTACGAAAATCTGGATGACTTGCGCATTTAGAATGTTCCAGGCAAAAATATGGATGGAAATCAGGCTGGAAAGCATCATAAGTTGTCACAGGCACTTATTTAGCCAGTCTGCCTGTGAACGTCGATTTCGTCACTATTCTTGCCCTGGACTAGCACCGTAATCACAAAGTCACTAAATGCTTGTGCTTGATTGAGAGACACTGCATTCGGTGCAGAACATAGTTTTCTTCCTGCTCTGGACGGTGACAATAAATTTGAGGGATGTATTTTCGCCCACAAAATTGTATTTAATTACAATTGTATTTGAAATACCCACGTTCAGGGATGGGCAAGATACATGCAGATATGTATCGAAATACAAATACAAAATACTTCGTCAACAATGTATTTATTAGAAATCTAATTACATTTCCAAAAAAGCATTTAAATACAAGATACAAATACAACCAAATGTATTTGGTCTCCTCCAAATACTTTTCCAAATACATTCCTCAAAATTTGCATCAGCGACTTCAGGGCACCGGCAACGGGTTTCTGGTCATCTCATTTTAATTTTGCATCGCACACTCGGGAGTTAGTGTGCGAGGCTCTAGTAACGTAATTGAAATATAATCACAAAAAAATGTAATCAGCTTGGACGTAATAGGTGAAAAAATTACAGAGCATCAATCAGCTTTTTTTTTTGTCGATTAAATTTTTGGTATAGACCAACAAAGAACCGAGACGACCAAGACGCGCAGCACTAGCTAGAGAATATTTTATTGTTGCAACTCGCACCAGTTACGAAAATCTGGACATGCCGCACATTTAGAATGTTCCAGGCAAAAATATGGATGGAAATCAAGCTGTAAAGCGTCACAATTGTCACAGGCACTTAATTATTTAGGCAGTCTGCCTGTGAACGTTGATTTCGTCACTATTTTTGCTTTGGACTAGCACCGTAATCACAAAGTTACTGAACGCTTGTGCTTGATTGAGAGACACTGCATTCAGTGCAGAACGTAGTTTTCTTCCTGCTCTGGACAGTGACAATAAATTTGAGGGATGTATTTTCGCCCACAAAATTGTATTTAATTACAATTGTATTTGAAATACCCACATTTTAGTATTTAAATACACACGTCAAATACATTACCTAATTTGTAATTAAATACAAATGCAAAATACACAAAGTATTTGAAATACGTATTTTAAATACAGTGTAATCCACTTATAACGATACCAGATATAACGATATATCGCTTATAGCGATCAAATTTTTTAGATTTGATCGCTATTTTTTTAGATTTGATTTGATCCAGATATAACGATAATCGGCTATAACGATTGGATTTTGCGGTTTTCTCAATATCGTTATAAGTGGACTGCACTGTACTTGTATTTGAAATGCTGCCCATCCCTGCCCACGTTTTAGTATTTAAATACACACGTCAAATACATTACCCAATTTGTAATTAAATACAAATGCAAAATACACAAAGTATTTTAAATACATATTTCAAATACTTGTATTTGAAATACTGCCCATCCCTGACTTCAGTAATGGTAATGCTAGAACTGAGACGCTGTCTTCAATAACATATGAAGTTAGCTTGGCAAATTTCTGAACAATTACTTGGATTCTGCCAAGGCCTACTGACTGGTCAGGTTGATTAGGATCTTGCATTATCCATAATAAAGCGGCTGAATCTGAGCATTGGGAACACTATCCTTCATAATGAGGGGTGACCGCCAAGCCACGCTTGAGAGTACCAGGTCTTGCCGACGTGCTCCCATAGCAACCGACACGCACCTCACGATTGAGATGAGGGAGAACATCTCGATCTCAGTGCGGTACAGGTCGAGCCACGTGAGCTTAGAGAGGTGGGAGATCTGCAGAAAGCCGAGCCTGTTGAGCAGGGGGTTGCAGCACCCCCTCAGGTCCAGCTCTGAAATGGGGAGGAGACACAAATCAAGGCACGGAGCTCGTCCACCACAAGGTCTAGAGCAGGGATCTCCAAAATTTTTGCCCAAGGGGCCGGATTGGGGGTTGGTCGCAGTCTTGAGGGCCGGAATATAAATATGGAAATTTAAAGTATAAAATACTAAATAAATAGTTCTAGGTAGTTTTTTCTGCTATCTTTGTGCGCATCACGGCACCGTTTTTTTTACACGAGCTTATTTTTACTTCGGTAGCAGCAGGCTTGTTGGAAGCGGGCTGCGGGAAGGGCGTTACTGGAAGGATGTCGGCCAGCCGTGGGCCGGTCGGAAGGCCTCCGCGGGCTGGGGTTTGGAGACCCCTGGTCTACAGAGATGGGTCATCATTTTGTGAGATTGCCTGCTTTCCAAAATAATGAGCAATACACATTAAACACCAATGCCTACATTAAGGGAAACATGTTCTGTGGTGTGCACTAGAGTCACTGAATGATCCCAGAGTACCAAAACTCCCAAGCTTCATTTTAGAAATGAGTTGCGGCACAGTGGTCGCGCTTAAACACAGTTCCAAAATGGTGCTGCCCTGTGCAGTCAAAGCGAAGCGCGTACAGTGTGGCATTCAATCTTGGCAAGCACTTCATTCCACTTTCCTGGTCAGTGGTGATGCTGGTTTGTTTTTATTAAAGTTCTTCCCTCTGTTCTGAGCTGTGCGTGACTTGCTCCCTGCGGTCTCGTCTCTCTTTCTCTCTCTCGTGCCTCGAAACACATCGAAGTTGAGTGTTCGGCTTAGCGTCTGAGGCGTAGAGTTTGAAACACAGCACCAGAACAACAAGAGCGAGCAGACGAGCCAGCAATCTTCTTTGGCGAACCAGATTAGCGGCTATTTGACATAAAAAAAAGCCTCGAGGTACACCTAAGCACTTCTTATGAGTTGTGAATGTGAAAGCATGAATGTCGTTCTTTGCGCCGCGGCCACTTCTGATCCTCTCGGCACCGTGGCCACTTCTGCTCCTGCACGGGCACACACAGCTATGGGGTGGCGCTCATTGAAACTGATGTGCGGTGCTTCATATCACTGCCGTTTTGCGTGGATTTCTGCATGGTTCCAAAGTTGGGATGCCTCAAATCCCAGCTTCAAGAATTTATTTGTTTTTTGGCGCAGCTGATGCCGTCGGCTCGCTCCATGGTTAATGCTTTCACAATAAAAAAATTTAGAAAAAATCAATGCACCTTCTGTTCGGCCCTAACTCCTCATCGTTGCTCAGAGCTCCCATCCGTGCACCGTAGCCGTGGTAACGCGGAAACGTTTTATATACGTCTTTTGTTGTTTCAGGCCCGGCTCCAAAATGGCCGACTAATAACTTCCGCCGCAGGCTAAACCAGCCAATCAGAACTGGGTTCTGCGGGAAACTTCCGGTGAGCGGACTGAATGGAATTTGGTACTCTGGGAACATTCAGTGACTTTAGTGTGCACGATTGTTGAGAGGTGTTGAAACAGGGATGGCGGGGGGCAATTGCCCCTCTCGCCACTATTTTGGACATTTCTAGAAAAACAATTTCAGGGATTGAGGCCAACCCTCCCCCATCCGCATCTTGATCCTCCCTGTCTCCTAGACAGTCCTGACGGTACTGTTGACTGTTGTAGTAAAAATAAAAAGCGAGAAACCTTTACAAAAATACTGCATATTATATGAGAAGCAAAATAATGTGCACTGCCCTCCCATTTTATTTTGTGACATCCGCTGCGTAGTAAAAATAAATAATGACCAATTTTGCTGCTGGAATGTAAGAAACATGCTCGAGCCGTGCCAGGGGCGCGTCTTGAAAAGACATCTCAGCATAGGTGCACAACCACTCAGGAGTGGGAGACATCAATGGAGCTTTTTCCAGCAAGCCTCTGTGGATGCATTCACCCTCTCCTCCGGCTTTGCCTCCCACTGTTGCCATTTTCGGAGGGCACGGTCCTGCACGACCAACAACGTCAGCACCTATCTCTGCACATTGCCATTTTTACTGATCCTTTTGTGAGCATCGGTAGCATGGGGCATAAAAAGCAATACAAACCAATGCAACGGCACAATGCCAGTGTGTTCCAACAGACGGAGGCATCGTTGTGCTGCCCTTCATTCGTAGTTCCCATATAATCCCCCAGATGGCACTCGTTACTCAAAAAACGTCCATTGAGGTTGTCGTCACTAAAACTAAGGTGGGTAAATTTGATCGATAAGCATAATTATCTTGCAGTTTCAAGCAGTAATGTCCCCATAGCAGAGCATGAATGCCTCGTGGCAGTGTCCCATTCCTCTCCGGGGGGAGAGACATCTGTCTGTACTTTTTGTTACAACCAAAGCATCTGCGGCCACGAGGGCGTTGAAATTCCCTTACCTTTCAGGTTGACGCATTCGTCAGCAATTACCTTGAGGCACTCGTTGTCCACAAATGGGCAGCACGAGAGGCAGAGGCAGTGGAGAAACTCCCCCCTCAGCTCCATAAACCTGTGGAACCGTTGCGGAGCTGCAGTCTAACTACAGACATCCACCATTGTCACTGTAGTACCCAATAACGTGCGAGCAGAACAGTAACACCCAGTGGCACCATTACAAGTGTTTTACACTTGTGATGGTGCAACTATGCAACAGATTCAAAGTATTGTGTTTGACAGCTCTTCATCAAGTAGGTACACTACGATAATTTGCATCTTAAAAGCTTGCTTTTACTTCCTTTTCATCGAATTTTTTCCAGGATTATATATCAGCACAAAATCAGGTTGCCCTCATGTTGCACCAAATAGTACTCCAAACAGTGGTATCACAAGGAAGGGGGGGGGGGGGGGGGGGTACTCCACTTATTTTAACTCTATGTATTACAACATTAGTATGTAGCTATTGCTTTCTTTTCATCTGTTGTTTATGCAAGACTTTGTAAAACCTCTTTGGATTTTGTGTTTTGTATTCAAAGTGTAGTATTTATTACTTCTTTGTTCTTCCCTTATGTAATGCCTTTCGGTGCTTCGAAGTAATTAAATAAAATTAAACATGCAGAATAACACTATCACTAACCGTATCCATAGATGGTTACAAATATTAAACCTGTTATATCAACAGTTTTCAAAAATACAATAGACAGAGACAGATTAGTATCTGTCCAAGCAGGTACAGAGGCTGGGGATGTCCCATTCATATAACAACGGGGTAGCTTGAACCGTAGCCATAGTACACACCCAATTTTAACACTACTGTGCAGGGAGTTACACTGAAGAACATGATCTACATTACTACTGGAGTTCAACTAAGAAGTAGAAAAACAGCAGTCACTTATGAAACAATTCTTGCATGATGAGAGAAAGGAGTTGCCACCTGACAAAAGCTTCCATCGTCACGGATCCGTTGGCACCGCACCAAGACAAATTAAGTTTCTCCAACATCACAGAACGGCCTTGAAGTGCTTCGAGAGCCTCGTCATCCACCTGTTACAAAAAAAAGAAAAAGGTGAAAGCAACGTTGACGTTTCTTAACATCCAATATTACTAGGTAAGAAGACAGGATGAGCAGAAAAAGGTGTCTTCTAAACCTTTTCCCAATAGGGCTGCAGGTCGAGAGACTGATAGAAGATCCTGTCATAGCAGACCCTCCGGAAAAGCCTGAGACGATAGAAAGAAAAGCTATCATGAACAGATAAGCATACAGTTATGACATCAAAAAAAAGAAAGCAAAAGTGGTTGGGACATCCAATTAAAATTGCAGTTATCTTCCCCTGCAAGAACCAAGGTTCTTGCTTCATTTGAATCGGCCTCACAGATAAATTGTTTCAGCTATGAGCAGTGCCTCGATGGCAAAGTTCTCACCTCTCATCGTTTGCGCTCGTGCTGTAGCCAGAGCTGACAGCCATTTTCTGACAGAATAAAGAGAATTGTTTTCGAACTGGTAACTGACCTGGATTGTTTTCATCTATCTCAAGATTCCGGAAAGTATACAGAATTGCAAGCATGGTATCCAGGTAGGCGCCCTTTGTGTGCAAGCATGTGTAGAATCCACGTAGAAATAAATTTGGCAGGCTTTCAATTGCACTCGCTTTCCCCTACAAGCAGAGGCAGGGAGGCAGCAGAATACCTCCATGGCTTGCAATTGTGTACACACCGAAGGCTGAAACTTTATAAAAAAACAAAACATGTGCCATCTATAACAGCATATCTCTATGGCAAATAGAAACCTGATGCATCAATAAACTGGTTTACAGAATGAAATTTAATTGACAGCTAATTAAAATGAACTGCCCAGTACACCAAAGACATGTGAGTGGAGAGTTGCGTGTAGAATATGTACCGCAAAATGGGCAGAAAAAAGATTTGTTATTAGTGAGAAGTGAAGAAAATCATGCTGCTCATGTTCGTCAAAGTGTTCTATGTTAAAATTGATGCTGTACTTACTTACAAGTTGCGGCTAGCCTGCACAATGACAGCAGGTCAAGGTAGCTAAAGATGAATGCCAAGAGCTCATGCTGAAACATAGGAAGATCGAAACATTTAGATGCCCAAGTTTCCAATATGAAAAGCATTTGATATCCATTACCTACTCTCCTGTCACACAAATAATGTTTGTGACATTCCTCGCTTGTTCCATGTTTACTCGAATGAAATTAGAGCAAAGATCCTAACCAGAGTTTTGCAGTAACAGTAACAAAACTCAATAAAAAAATGAAGTGCCAGCACCATTAATAGTTGCCATACCTGTTTTCATTGTTACAATGGCATTCTGTACACCTTCCACATTGGCAATTTAGCGTAAAATTTCTAGCTCAGAACATCGTCCGCATAATTGCGAAAAAATTAATTAGCATCACCATCAGCACTGTAATATCTTAACCAAACCACAGGTGTAAGTATCTACTTGCTCATAGGAAAGACAAGGAGGTACGTCAGAGGTCATTTTCATGCAGCAAGAAGCAATAGTCTTTATGACTTTGTACCAGCATTAAGTACATTCACAGCCTGTCTGTAACAGAACAGTAGTTTGTATAGCTCAATACATCATTAGCCCAATTCTTCAAAATGTGATTGAGCAATCTTGGCATAACACTAACAAATAAAATTTATATCTCGCCATGGTTGAAGGAATCTGGCAGCTTTCAACTGCTCTAAAAAAAAGAAATAGCTACATGAAGTCGTTATTAAAAGAGCCATAGTATCCAATTAAGTTTGTAGATACTATAAAGAGGCATTTGTGCACAACCAATAAACAAAACTTAAAAAAAAAAAAAAAATCACATTTATGGTTAGTTACTGGAAGCGTGTGAAATCCCGATGGTGAAGGACTGCAGGTTTTGGGGCTCGGCAAAGGATGATTTGCATTTGCGCGATCACTCCAGCAGATGCGCTGCTCCGTGCACCCCCATGTGCCTCCTAATAAAACGGCGTCAATCTGTGCATAATAGTCCAGATGAGCCTGGTTGAACTCCAATCGGAGGGATCTGAAAACAGTACAGAAGATTAGTTGCTATTCCAACAGACGGCTAAAAAGAAGCAAAGCAGTATAAACCGCATGGGCAAGCAAGAAGTCACGACAGGTTCATACTCGGTAAGTATATGTTGGGCAAGCTTCTAAATTACACTCAGTTAAAAACTAGAAATAATGAGCATGAGCTAGCAGTGCATGCTAGTTTCAATTTATACAGGATCATGAAATAAACAGCTTCCAACCCTTCATACTTGTGCAGTCAAACCCTATACTGCTCAAGATGCCAAGAACCTTAGATTTGGATGCGAGTTAATAGGGTACTTATAGCCTTCTAACCCATAATTTGTATCTCCAATAAAACAAAAATGTAATGATTGTGTTTCTTGCCATCCAACCAGTCAGTCTGGAGTAGTATTACACATTTTAAGGTCCACATTAGCTGATTAATCATACCATAAACAAATTAACAAAGCAATCAAGAAAGTAATGTTGGAAGGGTTTAGCATAATAGTCCATACCTGGTTGGGAATGTAGCACCAGTGAGTGATGGCTTAAATATGACGGAACCTTCAGACCCCTTTGTTGGCCTTCCAGCCCATATTTCTTTCCACCTGGACAAAAGAACAACATACTTTTGTGCACATAGCTGACTGAGAAAGGATTTGAAAGCCACTTCAGTTTCAAGGACCTCTAAAATCTTCTTCAAGAGAACTGAATGAAAGATGTTCCCTTTGTCAATGGGCAACAGAAGAAGCATCTTTGTGGGAGCATTGGGGATAGCATGTTTCAACAATACAAACAAAAGGAATGATTGGGCTAAATAAATTTGGTACCTCCACGAAGGGGTAAGAGGGAGCAATTGTTGGAGGAAACCCTTGGGGCAGAGCCATTTTCAATGAAGCAGCAGTCATGGCCAGTAAGGCTTCTGATTTTTTTTTTTAATCTGTACAGTGCGATGCCATTGGCACAAACAAGACATTGCTTGCTTTTCTTTTTTCTCTCTCTCTTGGAGATAAAAGGCCAATCAAAACTATTGAGAGTGCTGGAAATTGCTCTTATTATTTTTTTTTATTCTGAATGTGGGGGTGCCTGGATCTTTAGCACTTGGATAATTGGGATCTATTCAAAACATACACATACTAATATTAGAGATAAATCATACATACACGTCACTGGCTTAAACATAGAATCATATAATACTAAAGACCTGAACACCACATATGCCCCAACATAAATAATAATACATGGCGCTCGTCAGTAGCCTGTCCGAGTAAAATGCAAAAACAAACTGATGTGATGTTTGCACTCCGTTACATAGTACACCAAAACGCACAACTAAATGAGCACCAAATAGCATGTTTTATAGCAAGTGGTAAAGTATGCATGTTGTAAGCAACAAAACAAAATCAGAAAGGTTCAAGGAAGCATGTGGAGAAGAGTAACTTTTTATGTTCTATATGCAGCACTTTAGCTTACTTTATTTTTATTATTTTGCAGCAATCTTGTTTACAAAATTCTCTTTATCACTTTCACTGCCGGAATGGTCTACATTAGATTCTGATAAATGCCAATTTTATCCTAATGATTTACGGACATTGATTCCGACATGTGTAAAAAAAATGCCGCGAGTAAGAAACCAGAATTATTATTTTATTAAAACTTTGCTTCACATAAGGGAAATGCATTCGCTTACGAAATTATGGGCATAGTTATGATTTGGTTCGTTGCTTCGAGACAGTTGAAATTGAATATTTAATTTGCTATTTTTGCTGCGGCAAACAATGCATCACAAATTTAGTTTACATCGGGCTTGTTCATTTCGCCTGCACCAGCCTTCACCGGTACAAGAAAGTGTAGTGAGGTGCAGAAAAGTGCAAGGCAGTGCACTTCCGGTATGTGGATTGATATAGGCTACACTCATAAATCAAATACGGCGGTATGCGCTGGGCGTAGTTGGTGCAGAAAGTGTAGGTAAGATGGATGAGCCCCTATTTCTTGATTTTAAGAACTGGTCAGGTCTCAATTCCTGGAAGTCGTCTGACATAGGAAGTGTCAAGAAAGGGAACAACCTATCCTCATTTCAAATTAGGGAAAGCTTTCTGTCTAATACTAAACACCCTTCCTAACTATAGTCTGAATGAACTTTCAAGATAATCAAATCCGGCTATCAGTCTTCTTTTAGGAGAGTAGTTCTCAAATGGAGTCCGCGGACCTTTTGGGATCCGCGAAGGCATCCAAGGGGTCCGCGAAGCCCTTGCTCCCGGCAATAAAAGTTGTCTTTTTTTCAGATTGAGAATAAATGTTCCAATTTTCGGGCGAGTTTTCTCGTGTATGTGTTAATAAGAGAAGTCTACTTCACACTAGGCCTTAATTATATCCATTTATTAAATCACTATCTTATTTAACGAATAACATCATCTCCGCCGATCCACAACGGGTCTGCAAAACATCAGTGGTTGAGAACCACTGTTTTAGGATATATGTAATTCCACTTATCACCATTCTTGATGTCTGCTTTAAGAGTGTTGCAGACGTTCTCCTTCGTCGTCAGACTCGTTTTAGGCACTACTAGAGTCATTGACAGCTTAAAGGGCCACTTTGCTCAATTCCGAAGATTTGGGGATAATGAGCGATTTCACATTAAAAAGCTCTAGTAAAAGATACTACGTCATTTGCTTCGTGGAAAATGGGATATACATTTTTAAACATAACTTTAAACACGAGCAGAAACCGAAACTTCGGCTCCATCCGGCAACATTGGCTTCGGGCCGCCAAGAACATGGCTATTACATGGTACGGGATGTCATGTAAACCTCTACGCAGCAATGGGTGGGATTGGGGCGAGCATGTGCCAGGCCCAAGTGTCATCTGCACCGCACTCTTCACCACGTTTTGGTTTGTACAACATTCAACATCTGCAGAATAGCAACATAAGCCCGCGCACGTAGTGTCCATAGTGTGGACAAAACTCTGAGACAAGAATCACAAACGGTGAGACGACAACGGCGGTAAAGGCGGGACCATGACGGGACGGCTGGACGGCTCCAAAGAAGTGCGCTGTGCAGGCGCGCCAAAAGGAAACGTTGCTGACGTCACCCGTTATGCTTGCCCAGAGAAGTAAAAGCAAACAAAAGGAAGCAATGGTGATGATGCTTCGCTCAATGTTGGCTACGCCCACGCCGTAGCCTTGACAGCGCTGTTGGTTACGCCTCAATTCGTCTGCTCAAGTCAGCCAATTTCGATAACTTGGTGAGGTGAAAAGTTTGCCGGACCGTTTAAGAGACATTTAGACAGAACTATGTCGTAATATTTTGACGTGTGGTCCTCCTAGGTAATACTGAAGAGGACTGCATTGTTTTTTTTTATTACTATACAATTACCATATAATTCTGATACGGTGATTATTTCTAGGGCAACGACAGACGGCTGTTCAATAACTACAGAGTGTTCCAAATGCTGCTCTTACCTCTTCTTAATGCTGTCCAAGGCCAGGATTCTGACTATGCTTCCTGGGTTGTAAGTTTCATAGACCTTGATGTCTTTGGGGTACATTTCATAGTCAAATCCAACTTCTAAAAGAGAAAAAACAAACACAGAAAGATAAAAAAGAACACAAATATTTTTGCGTAGCCGGAAAATGGAGCATCGATAGACATATGCACCCAAGTAAATGTTTACATAATCGCTAGTAAACAACTATCACTATTACACCACCAGCACTCTGAACATGAAATAGCTGCACTCTTTCGGTAATCCAAACCCACCATCTGCGCCAGGGTGCCAGGCTCCTAATAACCCTGTTGTTCCCGAACAAAACACCATAGTAGTAAGAGTAATGTTGAAGGGGAGTTGACCCTCGTCACTGCGTAAAGATAACCATCGTAATTCTCTTAAAGGGGCCCTGCAAGCACTTTTTTACTGGTTTTTAATTTGCACCGAACTTAAGCGTATTGACCGTAGAAACTTAATGAAGCTTTTCTTTTCTAGAATTTCGCTTTATTTTAAAAGTTATAGCAAAAATAAAATTGCAAAAACAAGCAAAAAATAACCTCCCTCTTGACGTCCTTGGTTGCTTGAGTGGCCGTGAACTAGAGGAGGGATAGTCAGCTCAGCAAGCGCTCGCGGCTGCCGCACTCCGTGTCGACGGCGCGAGAGGGCGCCACTAAAGCGTGTTCTGGATAGGCTGCATACAGCGGGCAGCCAGAGCGGCTCTCATTGCATTTGCTGCGCGATTAAACACTAATTCGGCATGACACTTTATTAGCCACAAACGACAGCAAACACGGAGTAAAGATCAGTTCAGAATGGGAGCCCCACTTCGTGCTGTCGTACCGCGAAATGGCCAAAACGCAAGACAAAGCTGCCCGCTGAAGGCCTTCGGAATGCTCGGAGCCGGTCGGATCCTCCAGTCCATAAACGACCGTAGCGCCGCCGCATACATCCGGGAGCTTTCCGTGTCGGCACCTGATCCCACTACTCCTTTCTAGTATGCGCCGCCTTTTCCACCACTTGGTGACGGGTATGTCGACAGGTCATTCCTTCTTTCCGTACTTTATAAACTGCATTTGTTTCTTTTCTGATCTGAAGTACTGAACAAAAACTACTTTTATAAATATTGAAACGGTTCGCGCCGCTTTTATTTTGTATTTCGACTAAAAAGAAGCTTTTAGCGGCTCTGACCAATAGTAAGCCTAGGACCAAAGACGTCACATTTCGCGCGCTTTCGGTACCGCGGGTCGCCCCCGTCGGTGGAGGAGGTTTCCGCGTCGTCCGGTTAAAATATGATGCACTGATATTTAGCTACTCTCTCCATGCCCGCTGGCTTGCCCGAGCCCCAAGAGACGTGGAAACCGTAAAAAAGGTTGACGCTTAAATATGATTGCAGGGGCCCTTTAATAAGCATATTTTCTCTCTCTCATCACTGGCTGGACTATCCTTTCTAGATAATTTATTGGTCTGGGGGCCTGGACACTCCACAACTCACCAGAACTTACCTAAATAGTCCAGGCTTCTTACTACCCTGCCTTTTGGAAGTGGTACCACGAAATGTCTGTATGATAAGGACTGTTCCAACCACCACGGTCCGTAGGATCGCTGCAAAAACGGCATAGAACAGTTAAGGTTTCATTTGTTTGACAAACATATCAAGATTGCAATTTAACTTAACATCGCTGCATAACCTGACAGAGCACCAGGCATAAATGTTTGCACAATTTCGAGTGGAAGTAATGATTCTTACTATTATTATTGCTATTATTTGGCGCAGCTCACCGTAGAAAAGGTCTCGGCGAAGTCCCCGTACTCCGGGTACACTTGAGGACTTCCAACGACGTTGACAGCTACATACGATATGCTGTTATAGCTTCCGTACTGACAACTGAATCCGGTGACCTCGGATACATTTTGAAAGCTCACAGGAACTTCGATCTCGCACAGCATCACTCGTTAAAACAATTAGACACTGACTCCAGCACGAACATCACCGACCACCACCGACATCACAAACACGACCTGAGACTGACTCGAGTCGACCAACTGTGGACTAACTACGAGTCGACTTGGGGTCGACGCATGTACGCCGGAAAGAATAAGCATGAAAACGTAACGAAAACTGACGCATACAACTCTTTGCTAAGTTTAAAAATATTTGCAAACACGCTCGTTTTTTAATGTTAGTCATTGTGTTTCTTTCTCACCTTCTTCACTGCAAACATGGCGCTGTGGCACGGTTTCGGTTTCGTTTTCGTTACAGCTAAAATGCCGTCACGTTACGTCGGCAGCATTTATGTGATGAACGGTTTGTCGTGCGAAGGGCATATCACGCGACACCGACAATCGGACACGCGTCAACACTCAGTAATTTAGCTTGGAGCACTTTAAAGGGATACTACAACGAAATTTCGGCGCTTACTTTTTGGTCTATTTGTGTTCAAGGGAGCACAATCACATCAGACACACCAATCTCTTGTTGAAAAAGACACGAAAAGGAATTTTAAAACGAATTAAACAATTAACAAAGAGCACCTGGTGGATGTCGCTAGCGCCTCGTTTGTAATGCCCATCTACGGACCTTGACAGGTAGTGACGATAACTGTCTCGTTTCCGGTCACCACGAGAGGAAGAGGGGAAGGAGGAACTCCCCTCTTCCCGAGACTCGCTTTAGCACTGATCTCTACGACAATTGCTGGATCGCGCTTCCCCGCTTCGAGCCCATTGCGCGATTGAGGCCACCGGTCGGCCATCTTACAAGGTCCGCTGAAGCGTTGTCAAGGCCTTTGCCTGTTTTTACGTGACCTACACACGGTGACCATGGTAACTGTCTAGGCTTGACAGCGCTAGAGAATATCTCGTAAGATGGCCGACGGTGGCCTCATTTGCGGTGCGGGGAAGCGCGATCCAGCAGTTGTCATAGAGATCAGTGCTCTTTAGTGTGTACCAGACGTGGCTATTGTCCCTCTACAAGATTATAGACCCTTTTCATGGCAAACACCACTAGCCGGTGCTCCAGTCTTCGACGTCCCAGAGGACTTCCGCTTCATAAAAATAATGAACTCGCTGGTTCAAATGTCAATGAAAAGTTCAAACACCAATTTTCCAGGTGAACGCCAAAAGAACGAAAAAGTGAGAGATCTGTTAATTTTTTTGGAATCTATTTGCAAATTAATTTGCCTCCTCCAAGACATTAAATTGTACAGCTGGACTCCAACTCTGTTGTCCGTGTAACATTTATACTTTAGCACTGGTGACATAAGAAAGTGCAACAGGTTTGCAAAGATGGAGCTACCGGAAGTCGCTGGGGATGCAAGCGGCAGTTCATGTTTGTAAATGTTTGTAAACAGCAAAAAGGTCTATAGAAGATTAACCTGTCACTCAAAATTTGTACAAAAACAGCTTTGGAGTTAGTTGCAGTGGCCCGATCGCTGGCGTGCTTCAGCTACTTCGGTAGCTGGAACGGCTAGGACATCCTCTCAACGTCAGCTTGGCTGCAACTTTGCTCGTCCCGAGACAACCTACGTCACAATTGTGGTGCATGTCACGTGCTCTCGAGCACTTTCCAGAGTGGGCGTTTATAACGAAAAATACAGGGATCAGACTCAAAATACAAACGTGCCATTGTCATTTACGGATATTGTGGATCATATTCAGCCTATTTCTGAACACACTTAAATTTCGTTGAAGTTTCCCTTTAACGCCATGGACAGCATCCGAGTCATTGGCCACATTGCATCAGAACGACGAGTATCGAGAAACCAGATGTGCAAATATTCTAAAACAAATCGGACACTTATATTTGATATGGACAGTCTGGCACCTCATAAACGGAGCTAATCACTAATATACCTCTCAATCAATTACTGAAGTTCCAAGGAGCATGCTGCAAGAGCTTACATGCAATGGCATCTGCTGCAGCAACCCTCCAGAAGCAGAAAACAAATGGCACTTTTCTGGTGCGTCCCTTGCAGTCGTATCAGACTTGGAACCACTCGCAAGGCAAGCACGTGTCCCTCAAGCTACCAGCATTCTCCTTCGCGTTTGGGTAATTTCACAAAATGCATAGAACGTGACGTTGGACACAAGGTTTTGCTAACGGTCTGGAACACATACAATATTCCAAAAATTCTACCAAATTTAATAAAAAATAATTAACCAACATTCTTTTTACAATGCAAACATCTTTTGGTGCAAAGATGGCAGAGGAGTAAGAACATTGCTGCAAGACATGCCAGACAACGAAAATAGTGTCACAAGTTGGCGTTTTTATTTTATAATGAAAATTACAAGCATCTCAAAGTACACAAAAAAAAAAAAAGTCCTATGTAAAAAAAAAAATGGAAACAAGCCTAAAGACTGGAGATTAAACAAGGTAATAAAATATGTATACGGCCTGGCATACTGCCAATCCTTGCACACAATTGGGCCCAATTCCTCCACTCTAATTATATACAAAACTTAGCGAACAAGCCACACTTTTAGCCTCCTGCACTCCCCTCGCACCAGACGGAAAGAAGTCCTTGCAAGACCACGCCTTTAATCCAAAAATCCAGCACGTTGTACAAGCACGTGTGCAGTCCACACTTCCTGCGCACAAGCGCGCACACAGCCTTGCTACTCTTGTCTTTGTCTGCCACCGTAAAGAAGATTAACCTCCCAAAATCACAAGAAGCAAATGCTGCACTGAACATCTCTTCCAAAACTTGTGTGAAAGCACAAGAAAAGATGCAGATGCACGCAACACAAGGACCTTTGTGGTTTCACTGTACCAGCAGCAACAAATTTCGAGGGGGGGGGGGGGGACAAAGAAAAGAAAGTTTGGCAAAAGAAAATGGTGATCGAAGACTGCAAGAAAGAGCGACTGGATTGGTGACAGACAACAGACCGGAAAAAAAAAATTCACTGGAGACAGGGGGACCCCCCTCAGTTTCTGTGCAGAGGGGTAGTGGCTCCGAAAGAGTGGTGGTGGTCTTTTCCTTCACGTCGAGCCTCGCTCTACTTCTGATTTCTGAGCTGGTTGGAGAGCCAGTCCAGACCCTCGTAAAGGCCGTCCCCGCTGGTGGCACATGTCGCCTGGATGTACCAGTTGCGGTTGCGCAGGGAATGCAGACCCAGCTTGTCAGTGATCTCTGCCGCATTCATGGCGTTGGGTAGATCCTTTCGGGGAGGGTGGGAAAAGAAGCCATCGTTACATACAATTCACTGGCGTTCGTAATTGGGACCGCATGACACGGCTGCCACATGTCACCAATGTTGCATTTGTCTAATCATTCGCAGCTTGTTGCCTAGAGAAATTAAATTAGTCAAATCAAATTTCGGGTTGAGGTCACATAACGTCAATTTTCCAGCTAAAATGCGGAGAAACCGAATTTGTTCATAGGTGACGTGACACCAAGTCATGCAACATAATTTTCCCCGCTAAATTTAGCGGGGAAACTGAATTGGTGTTGAGGTCACGTGACGTCAATTTTCCTGCAAAATCTAGCAGAGAAACTGAAGTTGTTCATAGGTGACGCGACACTAAGTTGAGACGTCAGTTCCTGGCCAAATTTAGTGGAAAATTTGTGTTGAGGTCACGCGACGTCACCTTTCACGCTAAATTTAGCGCGGTTACGCCCACAAAACAATCGCAAAACCCGGAAACGGGCGCCTAAGAGCTGCGCTCTAAAATGCATTCGAACATTGAACTCCTTTACTTTGCTACTAGCTCACAATGTGTTGAAAATATTTTATATCAACGTAACTATTTGGCATATGGTTATAAAATTTGGTGTAAGAGTGTTTAATTAGTTTCTAAAACCAAAGAGCTCAAAGGTGAAACTAATTTTTTTCAAAGAAATTTTTGGTTTATGTTTATTCTTAAGACAGAAAAAGCATGCTCAATGAACATCAGACAAGCCCGCGTAAAAATGCGCAGCTGGCATCCACAGTGATACCCCAGCGTCATTCCCCTCAGTGGCTTATCTGAGGCCTTTACACCACTGCCTTCCTCCAGATGAGATACAGAGCCCCTCTTATCTATACAGTTGAGATAACCGCAGATAACTGGTAAAAATCCTGGGAACTGTTATTACGAGGGGCTGATGGCAATCCCATTGAACTTGTAGATAAGGCTGCATTACAATTGGCTCTGAAGGGAAATGCCATTCCTCTGAGGAAGAGTCTGAACCAAACTCTCACGACCTAGGATCGAGCCTTGCTGGCAATGAACTCGCTACCTACAGTTCATTGGCAGCACTCTTATTCTGCTCTTCACATGAAACTCAACTTCACAGGAAATTCAAGGCCACATAGATGACCCGACTCTTAGATGGATCGTCACGTAACTGTTCATTAAATACACTGCTTTAAAGAGATGCTAAACCCAATTTTGGATTCCGCAAAATAATTCCACGTTGAACGGGACGCTACAAACTCCAAAAAAATCACTCGTGCATAGATATCTCAAACGGATGGCTGCATTTCTGGAAAAGGAGGGCACAATCAAGCGAGGACTACGTCACAATGCTTCTGGAACAGTCGAGAATGAGTCGAAACGGCCTTAATTCCCCCTCCTCGCTTCGGTTCACCAGCCCACGGGAACTAAGCGAAGAGGGGAGGGAAGACAAATCGTGACGTCGCATGTCTCATCGGCCGTGTTCGATCGCGCACTTTTTGAAAAATAAGGTCATCCATTCGAGATTTTGCTGTATGTGTGACGTTTTTGGGTTTTGCAGCACCCCACCTATCGCTCAAGCCTTGTTTTGTTAGCTTCATTATTTGGTTCAGTATCTCTTTAAAGCTGTAGAACATATTCATTTGTGGTTCTAAGCACAAGCCATAAGTAGAGGACTTTATGAGATAAAAATAGCATAAAAAAAAAATGTTGGGGCATATAACTAGCACCAGATTACATGACCTCTTGTTCTGGCTGGGGGAGAATGCGGCTCATTTCTCCCATCCCTTTATGTTACTGCCATTGCAGGAAGAGAAAAACAAACACGTGTTCCTTTACGTAATAAACATAAAGGATTAATTCTAGATGGTATTTACTAAAAGTGCTAAAATCATTGCACTGCCCTTTAAACATGAGGGCAACTGCACTCTTTATATTATAACTTGCAAACAGCATTAAGATGGCAATTCGGGCCAGTTGGTTCGTGATTGAAGATAGGCGCCGAGAAAACAAGAATGAGACGTAAACACTGGCGCAAACAGTTGCAGGGAGGGAACCATTTGAACTCTGACTCTTTGCTGAAATCAACCTCCACACAAATGTGGCACGGGAAAAGAAATGTAGCAGCATTTAAAGTACGCCCCCATGTGGTTGCCGGTCACATGAAACAAAAAGAGCAGATGGAGACTGTCCATTACCTGCTTGTTGGCAAAGATGAGCAAAACAGCGTCCCTAAGCTCGTCCTCGGCAAGCATCCTCATGAGCTCTTCTCGTGCCTCATTGATACGCTCCCTGTCGTTGCTGTCCACAACGAAGATCAGACCTGGAGCACAAGACCACAAACAACAGACTCCCTTCAAAGCTCAAACAAATATGTCAGCCAAAAATCATGGCTCTTACTGCACGGCCATAAGCAGTTTTAAAACTAGACAATGTGGTTGTCATGTTTTCATGGAAGGAAGGAGCAAAGGTTGATCTTTAGAAATGCCTTGCACAATTTCCTTCTAGGTGCATTTAATAACACTTGTTTATTTTGCACAAAAAAGAAAATATGCAATATATATATTTTTTTTATTGTCTCCCAAATTTTAATTTGGAAAGTAAAACTATGTTTGCACCCCAAAATCACCCCATGCAGCGTGCATCTCACAGCCTTGCAGGCATTTGGCAAACAGTCATTTTCAAGCAAAAATACACTTTTGTGTTTGTACGGGTTTGAAACACTGAGCACAACTTCAGCCCCCCACTGAAAACAAACACACTACCCTCCCCAGCTGCAGCTGCAGTTTTGTACCATTAGAACAGAATGAAATGCAAACGCCAGAACGCATGGTCTTTGACAAAAGTGCCGTCTGGAAGCGATGAAACAGTGGAGAGAAGGGCAACAAGGGCGTGCACCTCCGTGCAGTGTTCCCTCCACTCCACTATATCTGCCCCCAGAGAGTGCAGAATGTACATTTCGACAAAAACCCCGAGACTGGGACAAAAAGGGACGGACAAACACAAAGTCTCTTTTTGAGACTTTGTGTTTGTCCGTCCCTTTTTGTCCCAGTCTCGGGGTTTTTGTCGAAATGTTTAACCACCACCAGCTCGTTTGCGCCCTTACCTTTTGTTCAGAATGTACAGTTTCCTGAAAAATGAAAGACCCACTGGGAGAGCGTGGTGGTGGTGGCGCTCCGGGCGATTCTATTCTAGCCCGAGGGGAGGACTCGCTCAGGGCTCAACAAAAGTGCAAGCTTATCATTTTCTGGTTTCGCGGCAGAGAGCAGTTCATCAGTGTCATGTCCCAGCTATGTCTTACTGACGCTGCGATTGCCGTCTGAGAGACCGACCTGAGCCAAGGCGATTATTCTGACTCTGTTAAAGTGCAACATCCGTGCCATATTCTAACCAACAAATGCACTCTTCAATGCATTTTATCTTTTAGATATAGGACCAAGGTATAACTAATACTAGCTAATTTGGCAGTGCCCGTTCCAATATATAGAAATAAACTGATAAAAAAAACACAGTGGCGACTATGCTTGGCTTGAGACTTCGTGACCACATTCTCGAGCACGACACCGACGACGCGCGCTTTTCCGCCGAACTGGAACTGAAAACCATTAAGCTTGGTCAGGCCCGGTTGAGCCTTGATCGAGTGTCCTCCCCTTGAGAAAGAATGAAAATGCCTGGAGTGTGCGCAGCAACCCCGCCCTCCCACCAACATGCTCCCAGTGGGTCTTTCATATTGGAGCAGACTGTATCGAAGGCTGCACATTCCGGCGTTCACATTTCATTTTGTTCCAATAGTGCAAAGATGAAAGTGAAACACAAAAGGAATGTTGTATACTAAGATTAAAAATCCTCATAACCCCAAAAAACTTGTGAGAAATGCACAACAGTATTTCAACTCAGGATATATTGCCTTGCCTGTAATACCTCTGCTATGTGCTTCAGCCATAAAACAAAACTTCTACAAATAACCAAATACAACCCACCTTGTGTGTTTTGGAAATAGTGGCGCCAGAGTGGCCGGATCTTGTCCTGGCCGCCGACGTCCCACACTGTGAAGCTGATGTTTTTGTATTCTACCGTTTCTACGTTGAAACCTGGTGAAGAGAGTTGGACAAAAAATTTTACCATTAGAGCACACATAAAATTTTTTTTCTTAGCAGTCTTGCAATATCCCTCTCCACCACAAATGTGCATGGAAACACTGACAACTACAAGTCAGCTTATGCTATGCTTATGCTTGCTATGGCTTCTTTGTAGAGCTAGATTAAAATAATCCTACATATAAGATTTCTTATATTGGTGTATGGCAGTTGGAGATAAAGCTGGATTGAATCGACAAAATCATAAAGAAAACTGAACCAAACTGATGCAACACTCCTAACACCGACAAGCAAAAAAAAAAAAAAAAAAGCTTATGTCAATTGCCGTTAGAAGAGAACAGCTGGAAACACCCGGACAGCCAGATGTAAAAAGAAAAGAAAAAAAGGAAAAATATATATAAATAATGCAGTTAAAAGTTTAAACTACCCGGTACTAACACCACTATTATAAGAATAACTGGTTCAACTGATATAAAATTTTATTATGTAAAGAAAATCACTCTAAAGAACTTAAAATTCATATAAAAAAATTCAGGTGAAATTTCTATTTCGTCAGCGAAGAAGGGCGACTTCCTTCGACAGAACGAGACAAATAAAGTGCCCGGAGTTCTTGTAGGGGTGACGTTTGACGTGAGTCACAGGTGCCAGAGACACAGCAGGTGGTCAGTGGGATAGGCGTTTCCGAGATTTGACCACTCACCGATGGTTGGAATGGTCGTGACAATCTCGCCCAGCTTGAGTTTATACAGGATCGTCGTCTTTCCGGCAGCGTCCAGCCCGACCATCAAAATCCTCATCTCTTTCTTGCCAAACAGGCCTTTGAACAAGTTCGCGAAGATGTTGCCCATTTTGGCAGGCTGGCTGGTGGATGGCTGCGTTCACACGGAAGTACTGCCACCTAAACAGCCAAAACAAACAGGCGACAAACACTATGAACGACACGAACACAAGCCACCATTCTCAGTGAACCGCTATGTTTCATCACCCCGCCACAGTGGTACGACGGCGAGCACCGACGCCCAAAAACTCTGACGAGGCCTAGGGAACCTCGACGTCAATTTCGGCCAACTATTTCCACAGAACTACGCCCGTAAAAGGGAAATCGCTGGTTGTCAGGCACACGTATGGAAACCAGCTACGCGAGTATTCAGTCATGTTTTTAAATGACGAAAAAGCGGAAGCTTGAAGGTATAACTTGAATGGTAGGGAGCCAGCGAGGCACCGCACGGAGCTTCTACCATGTTTGACACGAGAAACACGCTAATTCGCCGAGTCCGTTTCGTGAATTAGGCGTCTTAATTAACACTAATAACTTCGACGTTATGCCCGGAGCTCGCAAAGCTATGTTTGCTGAATAAACGAATTGCAGAACACGCACAAGAGAGAACGTTACATGATTAAAATGGCGGTAAAGGGGCATGTTCTAACGAGCCGCTTGCTGTGAAAAGACCTCCGAACTCACGGATTTTCTGTCGCCAACTCTCGACGGACACGAAGCACTACCGACACCCGATCGAGTTTGAAACAGACTAAATGTGGGACGGAAATCAGGAACACAGATAGCCTGGTCGGAAAGGAAGAGCGAAGGCACGTACCGGCTGCACGGAATATGGCGGAGGTGGAACCGTGGAACGGTGAACTCCAAGAAAAAGCCACGTCACAAATGTGACGTAGGTGAGGTCGCTAGTGGCCTTTCTTTTTTTAGTTCCACCCCATTATCATTTGAAAATAATGTTATTGTAGTACATTAAATGTAAAATGAAATTTATAGGGGTTATATTAGATTGTCTGATTTCTGGGTGTAGTTATGCGAGGGACGTGTGACGATCTTCTGATTTTAATTAATTCATTTTAACTTGAACGTGTGCAAATTTTTTTGAACACATAAACCGTTCATGCTATACTTTTTGTTTTAATGTTAAATTGTGGGCATTCTATATACCTAATTATTCGTCAAATTATAACGATATTTGTTGTGATTTCTGGCTTGTAGCGTCACCAAGCGTCTAGAATAAATCAAATCAAAACCGAAACTGAAGTTTGCAATAAGCGTTTTATGCTAGCTTGTTAATTTGATTATACAAAATACAACTACAATATGTAAAAGATATATATATATATAATAATAATAATAATAATAATAATTACAGGGTTTTTCTTAACCGCAAAAGTAAGTTATGCATCGCCGAACACTCATGCCAAAGAAAAGAAGCCCTTATAATGAGAAATATTATTATTAGTCTATTATTGCCCGCCTCTGTTTCGATAATACAAGACCACTGAGACCATAAAAACAACCCCCCCCCCCCCCCCCCCCCACAAAAAAAAAAAAAAGAAGATAATTTTTGGCGATTGATGATCGCCGCTGGAGGTGGAACTGGTGGAGCAGCCGACTTTCGCAGATTTTTGGAGTGCCTGAAACAGCCAAAAGGCACAAGCCCGTACAACCAAGTGCTGGCTGCCATAGGAGTCTGCTTTAAAAAAAGTGACAGTGATCCCTACTCGAGAATCCAACTAAACGGGATCGCAACCTATGATTACAGTTGCACTATGATCGCCTACAGGCGTGCCGTGTGCGCGTGTGAAGGCTCCCTGTTAAACGTAAACCCTATGATCGCCAACACCGCAACCCGCAACGCCCCCATTTCTCCCGCAGCGGCCACTCCGGGAACTGCACGGCTGCACGCACGGCCTCCGAGATCGTCCTTGTGTTTTTAGTAACGTTGGTATTCGCTGACGGCCTTAGCTGAGCTCCCTGCTGCTGAGCACGTGCTGACGGCAGGCTTCCACAATGCTTCCAACACGCACACTGCACACCATCAAGATCGTCTTTTTTAGGAGATCATAAGCAAGAACTCGTCCCGAGCATGCGTCACGAGCAGATGGTGTCCTGTGGATAACACGTGTTTTAACAATCAATAAATTTACTAGACAACTTACGTAATTAATTGCGAGCAAAGTAAAGGCGATGTTTACACGATTTCTGATCATCATATTTACTGTCAAACTGCCATTCCAGCTCTCGTTTTTCACTAGAGAAATCATGATGAAATAATTACATTTCAAGCTTCACTTGAAATGACACGAGCAACAGGAGTGAGCTTTTTCAACCTTTTTACGATAGAATGTTTCGGTCCGTATCACATGAGCAAATGACGTTTTAGCGAACAGTGCCATACGAGCGAATCAACGTTTCAGCAAACAACGGGGGCACGTGTTAACCCTTCCCCTGCACTGCATGTGCCTGCGGCGGCTCATCACAAAAATGTTAACCCACTTGGCCCACCCGTAAACGCTGCTTCATGGCGGCAGACTATTCACTAAAGTGCCTTTCGATGAAGTCTGCATTCGCTAAAACGTCGTTCGATCGAGTGCCCCCTTAGAAGGGTCATAGTAAATCTGAATAGAAGTATGCAAGTTATTGTAACTACGGTAGCTACATTTTCAGCAACTGATTACATCGTATCTCCAAATTTCAGTGACTAGCATAGCCAGATTTTTTTTGTAGTGATTTGCGAGTTTAAAGTTGTTATTTGCCAAACTCGTGTTGACAGTCACACAAATTTAGTGATTTACCTCAAGATCAGTGTTACCTGTTGTGACTGCATGCAAGTTAGAAAGAATCCAATTTCTTATATATACATACAAATAAAAAAAATATATTTTTGATCTAATTTTTGTAAGTAAAAATGCAACAGATTGACTCATGTGTTTATGCCCAGTTGTGGTGAAGCCTGGTCGGAACTAAGCAAACCTTATATTGAACTCGAAATCCTAATGCCAAAATCACACACACAAGAGATGGTCAGAACAAATGACGGCAGACACCATACATAAAGACATTCATTATATATTCTTTATTTTCATAATATCCCATCAACTCTATGCTATCAACCCTGTAGATTAGGTCATGCATTATCACACCTGTGAAATGACAAGGCAGCAGTATTGGAGCTTTTGTACTGCCTTGGAATTGCAGCTGAGGCTGTCATGAGCGAACAACGAACCATGACTAGTTGATTTCATTCATTCAAACATGTTTCAAGGGTATCTGTCAATCCAAGAGAAACAGCAACCTCGCTTGCTCGCCAGAACCAACCCACGGGGAAATCTCACATCAACAATGACGGGGTTTCTTGAGGGAGGAGCTGCTAAGATCAACCTTAACGTTGAAAATTGCAATACAATCTTTCCCATAAAATTTTAAAAAAAAAAGAGAAAAAAAAAAGAAGATGCACTGCCCTACGGAACTAAGTACAACATGCATATAAACCGAGTAAATACAACTGGAAATTCCTTTTAACATTGCAGGCAGAACATAATGAGCCTCTAGGCTATAAGGAACATGTTTTACTACTATAATGTCTCGAGGTAAACTTGGGAGAGATCTGAACAATGTCATAACCCTGTCTCTCCATCTGAACTCAAAACAGCATCTCGACTGAAAACAAATTACGGTTTGCACCCCCTATTTTCCTCGTAATGCACGTTGCAAAAAAAAGGTTTCGATATTGCGAGGCCCGCACCACCCCCTACGTCCCTAAAACATCTGGGGCCAACCTAAAGGGGATATTCATGGGGAATAAGGGAACAGATATAGGTAAAAGAAATAAAGGCAAAAAGGCCTCTTTGAAAAGCCATACTTTATGTTGGGCCTAATCTCAGTAAGTAAAATCTGGATAAAGTGCCAGTCGAGACACAGCGATGTTGGGATTTAGTGCCCTGCTTTTCTTGTTAACAGTGGGAACCCCAGATCTGCATTCACAGTGTATTGCTGGCCCAAGACCTCCTAGCAGTCAACTCCACACATCAAGCACTTACATATCCCTCACTCATAAAATATGCTTGGCACCATAGTATAAACATAAAATTGTAAAATTTGGTAGTGTATAGATATTATGCTCTGAAATCTAAAATGCGTGCAGACTTCTTTGCGACGTAAGCATGCTGCTTCCATGCCCGGAGACTTTCTCCCGAGCACAACAACAACAAAAAAATAGCGTTCTAATGATAACAAGCTGCTGAGGCTTCCACATTAGAAATCAATGACCCCATATGTCAGGCAAGTCTCGAAAAAATAATGAACGAAAAACTAATTCCTACAATGTTTGTTTGAACATAGAGCTACCCGCTTCTATTAAATGAACCTTGCTTGGATGTTAATTCATAATACATACTACTACCGGTATATAACAATGCCGTTCAACCTGGCAGGTTGGTTTGAGCCAGCTACATAAATCAAACTAAAAGAAAACACAGCATTACTGCAAGGTGGCACAGTATAGCATAGCATACAGTGGCATGCCTAACATAACAATACAATGTCGGAGAATAAAGCTGATCTACATTGCAGTGCAACAAAGCAACATCATCTGCAGTAAGCTGCCATTACCACTAAAGCAAACTGTAAAGATCAAGTAAGACGAACAAAGCAAATTGCACAAGCAGCCCTTAGAAGACATTGCAAAAGGAAATCACGAAGTTACCCATAGGCCGAGACATGTATCTACGCTAAGCACAGACATGTTGGTAAGCTGTTTTGAGCCAGCAGAAGGTAACACCTAAAGTCTCTGCCTAAAATACTTCGAGGAGACAACAGAGAAAGTATAAAAGTAAATCTTATCTACAGTCGAAACTCTAACCACAGAAACAGACCCTCGCATTCTCAACACCACTCACACCATGATCGTAGAAAGCAACCTAACAAAGTCTCTATGTCTATATGAAAGAGTATGCAAACAACAAAGGGACTTCACATGGCTTACCAACAATATTGTATAGAAACCTGCTGTCCTGTCATGGCTCCAAAGCCATTGTACCCAAGAGAGGGGTCGTAAAAACTTCGATATGTTTCCACATTTGATTCCAAACAGCCAAAATCGACTCCAATCATTGTGGCTTCCGCACTCCCGACCACAGCCGATCCTGAGACTTTGTGCCCCAAACCAACGCTAGACCATTTGGCAACAAAGAATGTATCAAAAAAAGAAAGAAAGAAAAAAAAAAAGAAACAAGTTGAACTAGATTCTGGTTACATCTTTAACAAGACCTCAACTCTTGATCGCTATAAATGCCACGCTGATGTGTAGCGGTACGAGACCGGTGCTCAGTGACCGCAAAGATGGGTCAACGTCCGCCTCAGATACAATCAAGTTCGTAAAATGTGTGAAGACATTCTTGACGACGGCCTTCTTCTCTCCTCTCGCTCTTCACAGTAACAACAACGATAACATCAACAACAACGAAAAGTTTGGGGGGGGCCATTGCGAGACACTGCAAGGGGGGGGCAACTCGAAATGTCTAGTGGAAACGTGCACGCCCACGCGCGATGGACGTGGCGTGGTTGCGACGACGGCCACCGCTTGATTGTGGTGGCTCGCTTTTGAAAAAAATGTTCAGCAGTCATTTAGAAACAGAGGCACTCTGGTGGGCACACGGGCTTCTCCCTTCACGTTGCAGCGCGGCAGCGGAAAAGCGTTCGCACTTGCAGAAGCGTGGGGACGCAACTTGCATCTGCGCGCAAATATTCATGAAAAGAAAAGAAACAAAAGAAAGACAACCCCCTTGATGGTTTTCTGGTCACTTTCTCTCCCTTACAGAAACATTGCATATAAAAATAACTCTCGTAACACAGGCAAGGTGAGGGAATGATAACGAGACAGTCTGGGACGCTTTGAGGAATCGATTTTCCTATTAACGGAAGAAATTAACGTATCAATTTTGAAGCTGCTGCTAATGCTGGCAGTGGAGTGTTCAGCAATCCAACATCTCGCTTGTCGGGCGAGGAGTTGTCGCACGGGTGACGAAAACGCCTAAAAATTAAGCATGCAGCGCCGAAGTACTTTTGCGCAACACAATTCCAAGGTTCGGCGGCTCTCGCAAATATTTTCCAAGACACGGGTTTTCAATGAAGCTCTCCTACTTTTGCGCAAAGTCCCGCAATCAACCTACGCTGCATCGCAGCATATGCACGTAAGTACCCTCACAACTTAAAAATATGAGCACGATGCATAATGAAAAACAGAACCCACGCAAGACACAGAGGCAAGAAGGACAAGTACAATGGACGAGCGCTCTGCTTTTGTACGTCTTGTGTCCATGTTTTTCGTCCACTTTGTCTTTCATTATGAATCAGTACCACTTGGCCCAGTTCTCGACACCTCCGAATATGATGAACGTAAGTCATGGTGTAGCGTTCTCTGTTGAACTAATAGAGAATATTTTGACTGCTATAACTGATTTCGAAATGGTGAGTTTACCTCTCTAATTAAGGGCCTCTGTTCTACTAGAGCCAAACTGTCTTCTATATGATGTAAACATCCCACACCACTTCCAGACACAAAATAAAAAAAGTAAAAAGGCAAGTTTAAGAGTGTCGCACGCTTCTGCAGAGGGCGATCTCCGTGCCGCGCCTGGTCGCGGGAGTGCCCGGCGCTTCGGTGTGTTCAACGCTGCGGTGTCGAGGCACCGTCTCTCCGTCGCGACCGTCAGTACACCCACGCGACGGGCAACCACTGTGGCGAGGCGTCGAGGGTGTCCAACGTCGCCTCCAGGGTGTGGATGGTGTCCTCGATGTCGTTGTTCACCACCGTCAGGTCGAAGAAATGTCCGTAGGCCTGCCGCAGCAGCTCGCTCTCCTTGGCTAGCCGCTCTAGGCTTCCGTCCACCTGCAACAAACCACCCGAGTAACAATGAGACTGCGCTCCCGAAAAAAATTTAGCAATGTCCCGGTCGACAATGATCTGCGGGGACTGGGGATACCGCAAACTTTCGTCAAACCTGAGGTTCGAATGGTTTGGCAAACTGCCAATCTTTTAGCGAGATTCTACCTATGGACAGTGTAGCCCAACTTCAATGCAACAAATTCAACTTTTCAGAAAAAAAAATTAGTTTGTTTTTACATTTTATAAAGTATTGATGTTTACGCAATACAGTCATGTTACATTAATACGAACCCTGTTAATATGAATACCCTGCTACATAGACAACAACATTTTTGAGACAAACTAAGTTAAATACGTGCATTTTTGTCTCGCTATCACGGACAACCCAAATTATGGACACTTTACGGGGGAAATTGTTAGAGGTGGCCAAAGTAAGCTTTGGACGGTCGTTGCCATACATGTATGGCGGTGATTATACATTTAGAAGTGCCAGTCTAAATGCAAAACTGCACACACCGCGGGATGTGTTATTTGTTACGTTTTGGCGAACTATAGAATGTTTTCACATAGCGTCAACCCACCATTTTGTAGTTGGAGTGAGTGAGTAAGAAAATGCCTAATTTATCAAAAAAAAAAAAGAAAGGCGCGATGAACTTTGTAAGATTTTGTGTGCTCCTGATTTGCGGGTGTCCTGCGAATCCTTGGAATACTTGCTTTCAGCACGTGCCAGACAGCTCATAACGACAAAATGGTGGACAAAATTACATCGGTGAAAACACCCAATAAACATTATATACACGGTGTTTCCCTGTGAGAATCGGCCCCGCCATCACCGTGGGTGGACGCGGGAACAGGACCGAGCTTCTTTTTCTTTCCATTGCGTGTTGGCGTTTGCACGTGCGCCCCTGTGTGTGGGTGAACTGGCGACGCTCGTGCGAGCTGGGGCAGGGGAGGCTTTGAGAAGAGAAGAAGACAAAGACAGCACGTGCGGTAACCTTTTTGGGACATTCGAAAATGAGCTTCGCTTGTAAATAGACGTGTTCTTTTTTTTTTCTATCCGCGGAGTCCTGTCTGGTTTACTATTCCGTCAGCGACCATCAGCTGCCTCCGTCGTCGGGTCCCGGCGCAATCTCCAAGAAAGAACATCTTCACTGGCGCAGTCGACAGGATTGCGTCAGCGGACCCCGGCGGCGTGATCTTCACAACGGAATCGGCGGACAGCGACTTGACGCGGCACTGGTGGAGCCTTCTACAGAGAAGACTGGACCACCGAGCTCCTTGAAGATTGGACCACCGAGCTACTTCGTGGTGGCAGAGCTACCTCTGGCCGGATGCCGTCCCACTCCAGCGAGGAACGCCCGAGTCTACAGCTCGGACATCATTTTCGTGCCTGACTATTCTGAGCAGCGGCCTCCGTCTGTGATCCAGCGGCAGTCGTTGACCTTACGGTAAGGTGATTCTTTGACGTGTGCCCGCCATGGATACAGACAGCGCAGAGCGGCGGATGCCGGTTCTAACGCCAGAGCAGAATAGGGGTCAGAATAGGGATGTTGACGGGCCAGGTGAATTGTCACCTTTGAGTGGATTAGTGGCAAACTCGCAGACACAAGGGGATGGGAACGGAGGAGTCCGATCATACAGCTCAATTGAAAAGGAGATAGAACTTATAAGGGAGAAAGAACGGCTGTTACGTCTCGAGCTAGAGCTAGAACATCTACGCTCAGAAAACCGAAGGCGAGCCAGTGGAGGCGGCATGGAGTTCAACCTCCGAGATGAAGTTTTTCGCTTTTCGAGATTGATGAAGGGAGTGCTGACTCCCATGCCGTCGTCCGACATATTAGTGCCGAGCTGGTTTGATGGCGTAGAAAACGTCTTCGAGAGATATGAAGTCCCTGAGCGGCTCAGAGGATATCTTGTGCGACCTTATTTCACGGAGAGCATGCGTGCCCTAGTGAATAGGCTGAACATGGGTGAAAGAAGTGGGTATGGTGCGGTCAAAGAACGGGTCTTGTTAGAGCTCGGACTGTCTCGAGCTGAGGTCTGGAGGCCCTTTATTGAAACCACCACTTCTCTCAAGGAAAAACGCGAGAGCCCAAGGCAGGGCATCGTACCGGAAAATTATCGGGTGAAGTGTTTTAAATGCAAGGAATTGGGGCACTATTCCCGCGAATGTCCCCGGACGAAGACACCAGAAGAAGTTCTGTTTCACAAGAAAAGAGTAGACGCCAAGAATGTCACCGTGGCGGAAGATTCCAGTCGTGAGCCCGACAAGGTGACGACCGAGGTGGGCAAGACCGACGGTACCAACTTGGACAACCAAGATCAGAAGAGGTGGGACCCATCGGTCCGCGAGGTGCCTCAGATTCTGTTACAAGCCGACGACACGAAACGGTCGTCGAAGAACAATCGCTGCTGCGTGTCTGTGCAGGCGGACGTTGACGACAGAAATGAGCTGAACGTCTCGCGTGCCTGGAGGACGTCACAGCGAGCCGAGGATGACCACGACGAGCAGGTGAACGTCGACGACGAAAGGCCGTGCACTTGGCCTGGGCGGCAGGCGTCCCGGCGATCTGAGGACGACCCATGTGTGAACTTCGACAACGTCTTGACCGGTCCCGACATCTTACCTGGGTTGCACAAGTTCCTACAAGCCAATAACGACGACGTTGAGAACGTGGGCGCCGGTTACAAAGAAGAACCGAGGGTATCTTCTGGGAGGCGGAAATGCCGGCAAGTCAAAGATGACGACGGCGAAAACGTGGACGGCGACGAAGGACCGAACTTATCGTCTGGGCGGCAGGCGTTCCGGCAAGCCGAGGACGACGACGGCGAGAACGTGGACGACGAAGGACCGAACTTATCGCCTGGGCGGCAGGATGACCATGACGAGAACGTGAACGTGGACGACGAAAAAGAACCGGATATTTTGCTTTGTTGGCAGACGTTCTGGCAAGCTGATGACGACCACGGCAAGGAAGTGGGTGTCGACAAGAAGTCGGACATCTTGTTAGGGTGGCTGACGTCACAGCCGGCCGGTGAAGGTGTCAGGGAAAGCGGGGACAGTGACGAGGACACCGTCTTCGAGATGAAGATGTCCCAGATTATAGCTAAGGACGCCGATGAAGACTCGACCACCTGCCAGCCGGCCACGTATGAGAGAGCTGGGAGTGTAGAAGGCGTCGACAACGGCGACCACCTGCGAGGCCCTTTCCTGATTCGTAAATCAAGACAGAGTATAAACTGTTGTCGCTCTTGCGCGGAGAAATTCCGGAAACAGCTACACACCGTCCGATTCAAGCCCCGCCGAAATCTGGGTGGCTTGAATAACCTGTCGGCAAAGAGGCCTAGGCTAGGAGGCTAGATGCTGCGCTAGTCTCGGCGCGAGATTTGTCGCTGCTTTGGAGCCTTGGCGGGCACAGTAAGAATCACTTTACTAGCATATGATTTGCATATTGGGGGAAATTTCTCTTATAGTTTGGATTCTTGCGGGTCGAGTCACAAACTCTGTGTAAGGTGTGTCTGATATGCGTACGCGTTTGAGTTTAGTTGTTATATATTATTTTTGACATTTCGGGTCTAAAAAATATACTTAGTCGGGAGGTGTGAGAATCGGCCCCGCCATCACCGTGGGTGGACGCGGGAACAGGACCGAGCTTCTTTTTCTTTCCATTGCGTGTTGGCGTTTGCACGTGCGCCCCTGTGTGTGGGTGAACTGGCGACGCTCGTGCGAGCTGGGGCAGGGGAGGCTTTGAGAAGAGAAGAAGACAAAGACAGCACGTGCGGTAACCTTTTTGGGACATTCGAAAATGAGCTTCGCTTGTAAATAGACGTGTTCTTTTTTTTTTCTATCCGCGGAGTCCTGTCTGGTTTACTATTCCGTCAGCGACCATCAGCTGCCTCCGTCGTCGGGTCCCGGCGCAATCTCCAAGAAAGAACATCTTCACTTCCCTTTGCTGTTTTTTTTTATAGTTTTTAAATTTCCTGCTTCGCGCACGTAATGCTCACTTCGCATAAGAGCCACTCTGGGGATAGTGCCAATGGGAGCACTGGCTCTTCCGATTCAGACTTCCAATGCTTTTCTGGAATTAAGTTCGGAGGATGAGAGCTCATCATCTGACAGAGAAGCTCCATAAAGTACTTATGGATAGGAACCTGAGGCCGCTAGAATGTCGTGGACGCGGACATGCCAGAATGAAACCTAATGGAAGAAAGGTGACAGCTTTTCGCCTTCAGTAATTTTATTTCATTCTTCTAAATCTGACCACTGGGAAACATGTTTTGGGAAAACAAACTCGACATCACTGTATTTGGGCAAACATATAAACTTTTACTGCTTGAGTTAGTTATCCAATGCAAAACGACGAAACGGTATGCTCAACAAATACTGTTGCATATCTCCTCTGCCAGTATATGTCATTAGTTTTCAGTTTTCTCACATGTGCATGGGCGTCCGCAGAACTTTTTCCAGGGGGGTACACACTTATACAGCCCCCCCCCCCCCCCCCCTTGCTGGGAAATGTTGCCGATGTTGGCTATTTTTAGCACATTTTTACGTTACTCTGTACCTGCTTTCACGGCTGCGACCTGGATTTGAAGATACAAACCACTGATCTCTATGACAAATGCTAAATCGCGCTTTCCTCTCCCGCGAGTGAAGCCACCGGACGGCCATCTTGCATGTCGAAAAACCGCGTTTTTGGGGCACTGCAGAGGCTGGTGGCAGCGTGCTGAAGACACCTTTTCTACTCGTTCGTCATCATTTGCCGAAGAAGGTCTTTAAAATCCTCTATAAGCCGTAAAACTTTCCGTCGAGAACACCTGGGAATTTTTACGGAAGTGCAGTGCCGCAGAAAAAAGGCGCAACGCATCGAAAGTAAGTTTCGCCGGTCTCGCGACGTAATCAAAACTTCCATGGCACTTTCTTTTTTTCCCGTTTAAATTTGCTTTTTTTTCAATAGCCATTTTCAATTTCCAGATACTAAATCGCATGATGGGAACAGTAAATCCACGGTATTCTGAAAATGTGTTGGTTTGAGTAGCTAAAAGAACTGCCCAAGTACCCTTTAACAGGTGTGGGTGCAGCTACCACCCTCCCTCTTGCACCCCCCTCGAAATTCCCAGGGGGAAGGGGCAACTGCCCCACCTTGCACCCCTCTGCGGACGCCCATGCACATGTGCAAAGAAGTCAAACTTCAGTCTAATTTTGAGATAAAAGTTTAAAAAAAATCAAACCTGATCGAATTCGAACCTCCGCAGGTTTGCGACATCTCTAGTGGGAGCCTCACTGACGCTACGATTTCCAAATGGAAGATTCCACTCACGTCGTGCATAGTAGTTATTGAAGGGGCCGCAATGAAGACGACATACGGGGAATACTCAGCCGTTCGGAGGATCTTGAGTGCCTGAGATGGAAGTAAAAATGATGCATCAGTTAGGCGTCATCACGGAGCTTGTAATGGAAAACAAAAGGCAAGTTTAATTTTCTAAGTGCCCAGTCTGTTGAAGACAAAAACAAATAAGTTGGTTGCATGGATGATTATAAAGTGGCAAGTTAATTCTTCTTTAGAATATAGAATTTCTTGTGTCACTCATACAGGGGTGCAATTTTTCTAGTGTTCCATAACTACTGACTAAACTTTTATATATTCATTATCATTTGGATGTGTACTTACTGGTGTTTATCCATAAGAAAAATCAGCAATTGTTTTTCGGTGTTCACTTCTTTTTTAAACACCGGTACATTTCGGTTAGACGACTTGTGATGAGGCTAAAAACAATGATTGACACTAGAATAAAATGCAATTTATGAAAAAAATAATATGCCAAAAAGATCTGTAATTTCTTTTCCTTCTCAGAACCAGTGTTGCCACTGGGCGATTGACAAAAATAGCCAAAACGCAAGTAAAAAATAACCAGTTTATTTATTTTTTAGGCAAATTTGTCGCCATGCATTTCTAAGAAAAAACTGTCGTAAAAAGTGATAAAACAAATGATGCTCTCTCTGTACACCCTTAGACAACGTGAATTTGGTTTTAATCGGGGCAAAAATATTCAACCAATGGTGTTTTTTGGTTTTACTTAGAACTGTGGTACTGCTGAGGATTAGGCAATTATATTTATCATACTTTTATATTCCTCAGGCAATGCTATGGATGTTGCTAGTTGGAGCTGTTGCACAACTGAAACGCGCAACACGAAAAGCGCTTATGGCTTACAAAAGTATTAACAAAACATCGTACATGCTTTTTCTTTTTTTTTTTTCTCTTTCAACTCTCTGAACTCTCCCGACGATGACGCCACACTTTTTGCCCAATCAGCGCATTCCGTGAACTCTCGGCACCAACTCGATGTTTGAGGAGTCCAGAGACAGCAGGAGGGAGGGTCCCACCTGGGGCTCCACGTCCAAGATGGCGATCTTGCCGTCGGCGTGGATCTTGCGTATCGTGTCCAGCTTGGTGCCGTACATGGCCTCCTCGTGGGTGCCGTACTCCAGGTACTCGTGCGACTCAATGTCTGCCATCATCTCCTCGTGCGACACGAAGAAGTAGTTCCTCCCGTTCTCCTCCCCCTTTCGCGGCAGCCTCGTGGTGTCTGCGCGCCGTCGGTTCAAAGAGCCACTTAGGAATTTGCCACTCTGGTTCACTATACAGCTTGCAGGGGTGGGACAGACCAAACTGGTTTTGGAGCAATTTTCGGAGCAGAAAAATTTACATTTTGGAGCAGCTTAGGAGTAGAAAAACTTCACCTTAGAGCACATTAGGAGCAGAAAGAACTGCATTTTGGAGCACTCGCGACAAAAAGTCACTACTTTGGAGCACCTTAGCAGTACTGGATATACTTGCGTAATGATCGAACACCACTCGCATAATGAACGCTCCCCACAAAACAGGTACCAATATTTTGACTTTTTCTTTGCTCTCGCGTAATGAATGCACTTTGCATTTTCGGCTCCACAAGTCTCGAATTGCCTCCCATTTAGCTAGCCACCAAGTCAATTTTTTTTTGCCGCCAAGCAGTCAGGACAAGTCAAGCCAAGCCAAGCCGCTCTCGTAATGGCTGCAAGCGGCCGCAAGTGTGCAGTTGCGGAAGTGATCAACCGCGAAACCGAGCGGCTCGCACACTTGACGAAGCTTGGGTAGAGGAATTGTCTAGCCCCGGACATTCTTTGCCTATCGGATGCAATGATGTCAACTAACACGCGTCGTCTGTGGTCCGCTTTCGGACAGTGAGTGAAAGTGGGTAGGCCATAGAACGGTCGCATTGCCCTCCGTGCTGAATGAGCTTCGTAGGGTGCTTTTTTCTTCGGCAAAAGGCATGCCAGAAACGCCCTAAAAAAGGTTTGCAGTTTATAGAGCATCATTACTGTGGCGTGCCCACGACCAGCCATGGGTGGGCCTCCGTCAGTGGAGATATGCCACAGTACCCTGCCATGTCATATTGGCACCGAAAATGACATCTGCACAAAGTGTGTAAATGCAAAAATTTTACCCCGAGTAAAAAAAGAAAGTGTGTTCATTATGCGAGTAAATACGGTAACTACAACATAATTTTAGGAAGGCATCTTAAGCAGTTGTATCATGAGTTTCAGTTCAAGCAAATTAGGTTTGTAGAGCAAATGTTGGCAAGTACTGAATAGAACTCTACTGCAAAATATTTGAAATTGTGTGCGTAAAGGTTATTTGTTTCAGGAAAAAATTATGATTAAAGGGGTGCAACGATTTTAAGATTAAAAGAATTGGCATCTCGTCATTTTTACGTTGTTTATCGTGTCCCAGAGGCTAGAGAATACATCTTTTTCATCTAAAAACGTCGCGATTGCGCTGCATAATCGCAAATGCAAAAGTTGAGCTTTTTCCCCCACCTGCAGCCGCAAGTGGCAGCCAGTACCGCGAGAAGATTACGTGACCTCACTCGGCTCTAAGCTGCAGCATAACGCCCGCTAATGTCAGCAGAGAGAGGGAGAGGAAGCATCCTCCGAGAGAGCACACGGGAACCTACATGGCACCCCAAATTACGTCACTAGGAGGGGGACCAGGTGTGACCCTGAAGACCGGGAGTGAGCTGAGGGGTGCCAGAAATGCCAATATTTATCTTTTTTTACGCAACAACTAGAACACACAGGCGAAATCGGTTTTCTGTTCTTTACTTCAGAAGTGTCAGAGGGCAACTTTCACAAATTTTTGACCCAAGTCCGGAAACCGTTGCACCCCCCCTTTTAAAAATGAAGGGGCATAGCTCAAGAACATTGAGCTACATGCTACGTTGCATCATACATCATATGATGCAACGTCGCATCATACGATGCATTATATGATGCAACATTGTACATTGCATCATACAATGCATAATGACATAGCATACATAATATATGATGCAACGGTACAAAGGTTAAGGTGTAAGGATTTATATATCAAGTCCATTGGATGGACAAATTAATGGACAGCTATGGCCGAACCAAGGAATTGGGCGGCAGTGGAATAGCCAAGGTTGTCGACGGAACTTTCACTTTTCACTTAAGCTAGATCCACCTTGATCTTTGGCGCAGCATGGTGCAATTTTGGTAGATTTCACGCTTTTGGCACTGCCAGGCGCGGAAAATTGTGGATGTATAAAAGTGGAGCAATTGGTGCAGGTCCCACCCCTCGATTTGCAGTTTTCAAAAGACACCTGCAATGCATTTCCAACAGGTGTGTTTAGCGTCCTATCCCACCCATGCATCTAAAGTGGTCCCTTGGCAACAAAAGAGGTCACAGAAGCCGCCACGTCATGCCGATACTGATTGTTTCACATGCAGGGTTTAGGGGCACGGCAGCTGAAGACATATTCCCAACCCCAAATGTAAGAACAAACAGATCTCTGTAAACTACAAAGCCAATCAAACTCAATGAGGTATATAGCAAATTCATTCATTCATTTGTTTATTTTCTGTGCTCATAAACAGCTTGATGCCTTGATAATGAAGCACAACAGGCTGATCATAGGTTAGTTGCAAATGCCACGAAAGTTGGATTAAAAACAAATATCTGCTACACCGAGGGTATCATACAAGTGTTGAATATGGGTCATGGGACTGGTTGGGATGATCTCATTAGCATAGAGAGTCGGAGAAATCCACAAAAATCGACTCGGAACATGAATATTAATAGCTGATATGAGATGAGTACAATCAATTAATCCATAAATACATTTATAAAGGAAAACTAGATGTTGCGCACATCGCCTAGAACTCAAAGTAGGGCAATGGCATTGTTTTAAGAGTCTCACATAAGAATAGTAAATAGTACGACCAATAATCATAGAAAATTTGAAATTAACGCTTCTGAACATTTTCTATTATCTCTTGACTTGTAAAACTAATACAGTAGAATCTCGCTAATTTGAACCCGAGGGGGACCAAAACTTTGTTTAAATAATGCAAAGTTTGAATTTTTGGGAGTTTCCTTCCTAAAACCACATTAGACGGGACCTGCACACTAGTTTGAATTACCCACGAGTTTGAACTAACCGAGAATACCATGCATCCGCCCATACCACATTAAGCACCCATACCCAAATTTGTAAGATCTGAGAAAATATGCACAGTACATTTATATGTAGAATTGATGACTGGACAAGTGCCCATCCCCTATTTTTTTATGATTATCTCAAAATTTTGAGTGGGTGCTTGCCCGGTATTTTACAGTAAGAGGGTTTGAATTAACGAGATACCACTGTACAATTCCAAACAACAGAGGGAAACTCCAACTTGGACCTGGTTATTGAGAGGTACAATCGAAAAATACATGTCGTCGCGGAGAACTTATGTATTATTCTAGGGATGACACCCAGCTTACGGAGAGTCATTTATAAGGTTATTAACATGCATAGTAATAACAAGGAAGGGTCTATGTACACACCAAGATCACGTGTGCACTCGACTCTTTGCAACGAAACTTTGCCGATCTGGTAACAAAAGTTGATTTTTCCTGCCCTTGCAGCTTGCAGCTCTAGGGTGATTTGTAACGTTTCGTGACACTTCGAAGCGTAAATTATGAAATTAATTTTTGGAAAAAAATATTATTGGCATTCAAAACAAATGTACCACTGTCATATTTAATATATATATGTTCCCTATTGGATTCCTCACTCGTAAAACCACTAGAAAACAAAAAATAATGAGCGCTGGTTGTGTACAAGTAGAGATATGGCTTCCACAACAAAATAAATTCCGTGGAAGGCTAATCGCGAAAAAAACAGAAAAAGGAAAACTTCCCGGACGCACTTCTCGTAAATCTACAAAAACACAGTTTCGGAACTGCATGTTTTGTATTTTCTACTTTAAAGAGTAGAGTCCTTTGCTGTTAAAGCCAGGCCCTCAGCTGTAGAAAGAAATAATTGAATATGTGGCAGAGCTCAGAGTAGAGGATAGCCAAACTCACGTGGAATAGGATATGCATATTTGTTTGGGTAGCTGCTGATGAGTGTGTTTTTGATGTGCCTCCGCCCAACGCCGTGAGCTCCTGGAAGAGACGGGAAGCAAAGCAGTTGAGCAATACACATATCGTTGCCACCCGAGTCAACTGATATAAACAGTCAGTAAACATCACAAGAACGCAACAACAGCAAAATAGGAGTTCTGATCCTAGAGGCTGGTACTTAAAAAAAGGATTGAAGATGTTAAAGTATACAAAGTAACATGAAAAAATTTCCAACGTTACAGGAAAAGCCCAACCACATGGCCAATAAATGTGTCACAACTAGAGTGAAGTACAATCAGCATAACCATTGTTGACTTTTTAAGAGGCCAGATTCACGAAACAATCTTACGCCAAAAATATGCATATGACAAAACGTAAGAACAAATTCGTATTCTCGAAACAAAATTATTGTAAGTTTTGTGCAGGTTACGATGGAATCCTACGACAGCTCCGGAGCTGTCTTACACACTTTTTTACGATTAAATCAACATGGCCGACAGCGTTGCTCAATTACTTGGCCATGATGACCTACAAACATTTATTTTTCAACATTCCCTTCTCGTTCGTCCCGACTTCAAGCAGCAAGAAAAAAGAAAATACTTGAAATTGACCATGACGGACGTGAACTCTGGATTGGCAGACGTCCGTAAAAAGCTTGAACAGCAACAATCCCACCGACCAAGTGAGCTCGGCAGGATATAGGCCCAGCAAGGCACTCCGACCTGCTCCAACGGCCCCTGGCCAAGACCGTCTGCCCAAGACCGGCTGGCTTGCTCAATAAAATGTGCCCGCGCGACCCTGGTGAACCCTTCCCATACAAATAGTTTGAGCGCTGACCTCGTTTTCCGAGGCGGCGGGGACGAATGTTATCGTCAAAAAGGGACTCTCATCGATTCTACCTCATCGTTTTGTGTGATATAGAGCTCAAGTAAACACCATATGGATTACCTTTGCAACATATGGTAGTACACTTTGTTATTAGCATTCCATTTTTATTCCAACACGATGCTACTACTGTCGAGCTAGAACGGTTCATGGGAGCTACGCGATGCCGGTCCAACCTTCCTTTGCCGAGTGTCATGTCACCCCTAAGCTTTTGCCATGATGCGGTCCAACAGCACGAATCCAGCGCTTCGATCAAATACGCGTGTCCGCTCCGAGTGTGAACAGGTCTTTAAGTGGCTCTTGCTGACACTCTCGTAGTTCAAACATATCTCCTTGGACGTCGTCTCGCTCCTGCATCTCCGAGGCCGCAAAAAATGCAGTGGCAATTTGTTTCTATCTGCGCCTACGCCACTTTGCAAACGAGCGGCGTGGGCCGTCTTCTTTTAGCACCGAAGACAGTTGTGTTGACTTTGTAGCGATTGAGTTCGTAGCAGTTGACAAAGGCGGTTATCCCGGCCTCGACATTTGGGCCCGTTTAAATCGTGGTAGCACCGACATTTCACTACACGGACACTATCCCCAGACAAGCGTTGGCGGAAAGGCCGCCTGTGTTTGTAATTAAAAATCCACGTGCTTTGAATTGAACCGTGGTGAGCTCTCCGATTGGTTGTTCGTGTTGCTGAAGACACTGTTGCCATAGAAACAGCCCAATCTTATGGGGATTGGGAGTTTGCGGGACACCGGAAGTTCTAGTTTCTCTGCACGAGCACATCGCTTACCAATTTATCCTATTCTTACAATGTTCTTAACTTACAAACTTCTTAGCTAAGTTGTCGTAGCCTAAGAAGCTCTTTGTGAATCTGGCTTCTGGTATTTTAAGCTCTGTTGTACAAAGGGCTAAATAAATACAAAACTGGAAAAAACTGTAAATAATAAAAGGTTACTTCATAGATTTATACCTCTTACAAAAATGAATAAAAATTTCCTTTGAAGTTCTCCCATGCAGCATCTATGAATCTGAATACAATAATGCTAAGGAACCCGTTTTGCATTTATCGTTTGTAACACGCATTGTGCAAGTGGGCAACCGGAAGGAATAGTATTGTGAGTTACATAGTGCAGCCAACGGGTCGTGCAAGCCTGGAAAATTGCTTCGTTGCAAAACTCCACAAGGGGTTTCCTCGGAGGTTTTTCAAGACGGCTAGCTTTATGGAGTCTGAAAAGTACATGTGAACTCATGGATTTCAACGCACCCATTGTGCTTGACACAACTAAAGGACCTTTTGTGTGTCCAAAGATGAGACGGGGCCTAGAAAGACCAAGAAAAAAAGGACATGAAAACGTGGGGGCTCACCGAGAAGCACCAGAGTTTTTCTGTGGAAGGAAGGCAGCTTGACCACCTCCTCATAAGTGACAACATCGAGCTGGTCGAACATCGAGTTGTGCTTCGCTAGGTACTTGTCCTTGAAGTGTTTTTTCTTCCTCCCGAAGATTGAGCAATTCACTGCAAGGGGAGGCACAGAGGGTTGGCACGACGTGCTGCGAAACACTTTGCGAATGCGAAAAGCGGGAGGCAAATGAGCATGGGCTCGTGTCTGGTAGCATGCCAGGTGCAGCTCAGTGATCTCGATAAGACGAATAATCCTCGAACTGCCAACTCGGAAATGCGTTTCTGGGAGTTCAGAGCACAAACAAAATGGGTTTTGAGCTTGCTGGGGAGATTACCCTGGTCGTTCTTGGAGTGCTCCATGGCGATGCACGCCGAGCGCCACTCCTGGAGCTCTGGCGACGGGATGAGGCCCGCCGTGCCGTCCGCCGTCTCCTTCTTGGCCTGCCACCAGTTGTGGTCGTCCTTGCTGATCACCTGAAAGACAGCCGCGAGTGCCAGTCCGCCACTTCTCCAGGATGCCAGGCCATGTGTCAAGATTCTGCCTGGAATGCATCTCCGACTGCTGCCTTTATCCGCGTGCAAACAGCACGGTGGCCATTATCGGAACTGCTGCTACGTTCGGTGGGATACCCCTGCACCTTCCACGGGACAGCAGACCGGGTTGTTGATTGCCTTGCAGATGATACAAACTCCAGTAGCAGCGAGACTGCATGTCGCAACATCAGCAGTGCTCGTGTCCGTGTCTCTGTTACGCTGCAACTTTTACGAACCTTCGCAAGAATTGCGACTGACTCGACCCGCGTGATTTAAGCTGCTCTCTTTCCATGCACGGAAATGCATTAGATTGGCTATTCTTGGTGCATGGCAGAAATTCGCTGCTAAGTGCACCACTCGGAGATATTTTCTAGGCACCGCAAGAAATACCAAATGTTGCAAGAGGAGAAGGTCATAGAAACAAGCCCTGCACCCGAACATTTGCATTTTGTAAAGCTTCCTTCTCAATTGTCTTGAGAACTGGGTCCCATCCCAGCGGTCAATCATGGCGATATTCTGGATCTTTTGAGGTTCAAACTTTGGAATTTAGTGAGACATTTCGAGGTCCTTTACTGGCATGTGGGATTAGTTCTGCTCTAGAATATTTATGGTCACATTGTTGCAACGGACACCTTTAGAAATTCAATGGTCCCAGTTATTCCTGGTAAGCATGGCTGGATCAAGAGTAAAATTTAAAAGAGAACAAAAGTACTATATCGCATCTTGTTAAAACCTCTCAGACTACTGAGCCAGAGAGGCACAGTTCTTCTCAAGGCCAATGATAGATAACGAGCAATTGTTCTGCGACATACTTTCTGGTCGTCAGGGTATGTTATCAGTCCCATTCTTCAAGAACATAAAAACCTCTGTTCTTAGGGATATGAAATAGCTTTAAGGCTACATATCTGAGGGCAACATGTATGCAACTACCAGAGTTTAAGCTACTACAATGGAGCATTGGAGGAGAGTATTAACATTAGGCACAAGAACGAGAAAGTAAGAAAAGAAAAAACCTGTAAAATGTCTCCTATCTGGAATGCAATGCCCGCTTGTGCGCATGGAATGAGGTCATCATCCAACGGATTGTAGTCGAATTGAGCACGAACATATATCTGGGGAGAGACAACACAGGCGTTAGGTTGGAGGTCTTCCACACACCGGTGCCTGTCAACTCGATTCAAAACTATGTACTATTACATATTCTACAAACTCGATAGAAGCAAAGTTCTCACAACACTAATATGAAGCTTGGCCTCTACAGACCAGAATCTATCTCTTCTAATGGGAGCAGCTGCACTGAGCGAGGAATAATAAAGAAGTGTAAGGGCACACTGGAGACATAATTGACTGTGGCACGTGATTATAACAGGCAGGGGCTTGTGAAAGTATATGTAACAAAAAATAACTTGCACGCCTATGGCCCTGCGAGTGTTTTAACCTCTGACATCCGGTTCTCTTGGGTTACTGTAGCTTCCCTTTTTAGGACCCAAAATCTTGTTTGCAAATCTTTCAGATGCTGATCTATACTTATAGCTCCTGAAAAACAGGACATGACTCAGTAAGGATGATGATATGCTTAGTTGGTAAATAATAACTGCTCCCTATATTAACTTCAATGGAAAAAAGGAAAAAAAAAAAAATGAACTGGTTTGGAGGGCTATATTGAATTTCTGAGAAGAGCAATATTTTCTGAACAAATTATACAAAAATAATTGAGTGAAGAAATAAACAGGGGTGCAGCCACCAGAACCGTGTAAATGCATATCCTAGATAACATGCACATGCAAGAAATAGAAACGAGACCAAGTTCCAAAATTACCAAAAAAAGGGCATGTCAAAAAAAATAAAAAAGTTCAATTACGGGAATAGAATACTTGAAACAAGGTGTCCCCCGGTGTATTTGTACTGTGACATGGAACAATGATGGCTGATGCAAGATGTCTTGACTCCGACAATAGAAATGCCACACCTTTAGTGACAAAACAAAAACCCGTCTTTTTTTTCTTTGTTGATAATACAATCATCAAGTTCGGTTGCAGTCGTGCCATGTAAAATGAAGCAGTATTTGCCTTAGAAACGGTAAAGAAAGGTGAGAACTATAAAAAAATACAAACTATTATAACCTGTTTGCCAGCTTTTCCAGTGTCGTGACGCATAGCTCCCACAACTACCCAAAGTCAAGACATGAAGATACAGGTCAGATGGACAGCTTGCAGGAAAGACAAAACCAGATAGAGGTGGAAAACCGAGAAAGCGAGCGAGCAGTAAGAAACATAACTCTTCAGCATGTGGCTTTCAAACAGAACTGTTGTTTATTTTTTTGTGTATTCACATACATTCTACTAAAACAGATGATCCTCTATACAAACAAATATCAGACACACAGCTATACAAAAATAGGTTGTCAGTTACAGAAATCGTCGCAATCACCAGTTCACGGACGCTGAAACTGCCTCGAAACTTTCAACTCGAATGCTCTCAAAGACTAGCACAGCAGTATAATGTAGTATATACACAGAATATGTCTGGACGTCAAAAAAGAAGCTGTATAGCTTCCCAAGCAAGACTTTGACAACAATGGAGGAAGATATGTAGGTAGTGCACATTCCCACTCAGTAAGAAAAGTGCATCTTCAAATTCACGACTACACAAAGTCTCTATATATTTGGGCCCTGCACTTACAAATGCTTGCTGTAATCAGGTAAGTGGACACAATGCACAAAAGACCCTTTGTACACAAGATCATTTGTAGCAAGAATAAGATTGGCATGGCATAACTCTCACTTTCTGTAAACAATGCTGTACTACACTACTCTTAACAGCACGAAACGGAGTGTCCACATTACGACATGCTCTTTTGAAGCTGAACACCAGAGGCAAGTGCAGTGTTTTTCAAAAGTTTAGAGCCCACTGCGCATGTGGCCAGAGCGGGCTCGCTCCGGCCACGCGCGCAGTGGGCTCTAAACTTTTTAAAAAGACTGTACGTGTCCAGAACTAAGCTGCTGCAAAAATATAATACAGTATACAAATAATTTGAACTGAAACGAATTTCTCAATGAATTTAACCATTCAGAAGACGTTGAGATTCAGATAACGCTTTCCTGAGGCACAACATGCTGGAATATAACCGACAAAATCTTAAATTGCACACACAAATTATTAATTGGGCTGTCAAGTACAAAAGTCAACAGAAACTAACAAGAAATCCCTGATCAACACTTTACTAGATATTTTCTCACTCTTCCACCCCTTCTGACAGAAAGACTAGTTTTCTGCGATCGAGTCAGCACAAAGGTCACAGACCTATCCTCTTTCTTCGTCTATGCTACACGAAAGCATAGTTCTCAAAAAAACTAACACTGACAGCTACGATACATTTCCGAGCCAACATCAAATGCATCGAGAAACACCAGAGCTGGTATTCCATTGTGAACCAGGCTTCCCGTTCCTCCCACACAAGCACCAAAAGTGTCCTTTAACAAAGGTATCTCGAGGAACAAGGAACCGGGAAGGATAGGTCAAAGTTCCGCGAGACGGTCGTCACGAGTGACATGGAAGCATCAGAGTTCGCAAGACATAAGCTTCGGCTTGCAGACCTTCTGGCAGAGCAGTTAGAGAGCTTCACAATCATCCGGGCACTTGCAGCTTCATGACGGCACGACGGCTTCAGCCGGCGACGGAACAAGGTAGCTCAACCAGATTCTAGAGCCTAGAGTCTGGATAGAATCTAGACTAACCTCTCCTGAAACAAACCATACGATGGTGGCGTGTTGCAGGAAGCAAGCCTAGACGCCAGTTCACGCCAGCACGAAAAACATTGACAAAGAATGTACAGACTGCCCTTGAGTGGAGGACTTTAAAGTAAGGGAAGAAAACCATGGATAGGAATTGAACATGTCGGTTTGTGTAGAGGTATTTTTCTTTATTGCACTAAACACAAACCCGTGGGTGTATGCAAGCACGTAACAATTTGAGGACAACCTACAGTTCGGCGATTTTTGTGTCCTTTGCCGCAGGTAAGTACATAAAGTGGCAAAAGAATAGCCTCTTAACAAATTAGTTACTGATACAAATACTGCGAGGAGTCTTTTCTCGTATCTTTTTACAATCTTTCTTGACAGGTCATATAGTTTTCTCGCGTGGATGTCCCTCCTCCAAAAAAAAGCTTGAACTATATTTGTACCCCTGCAAGATCCCAGCATGTCATTGGTATAATAGGTTTTTGTATGCTAAATCATCCTCCGGTATAAACAAGCTAAACCTGCGCATAAGTATATTGAAGTATATTGTATGTTGAACAGCTCAGCGAAATAACTATGCGTGTGGTTGTATGCATGTTGTCACTTCTTAACAACATTAATACTCAACACAGACGCTCACCAGAACCCCACTACAAACCCTGTACTATGTATGTTTTAAAAAGTGTTTCCGTCAAGACATGAGCAGAGTTCAATGCACAGTATGCTACACTCCACTGCAAACTCCGGAAAGGGTAGCCAAAGCTGTCTACTTGGAGGAATTTAGTGCAATCCTTTTCACTTTTATCAACCCATAAAAAGTAAGAAAGTTTCGAAGAATTTACTACATAAACAAAACATAAATTTTCCTATCAGAGCGAAGAGCACGCACTTACAGTCATAGTTCTGTGGAACGGAATATAAGTAAATGAGTAACAACCCCAAATGCAGTAGGGGACCTTCTTTGAGAAGTACCAAATCATACTGAAAACTTCTGCAGACATGCTGAATAAAATACCGGCAGACTGAGCTCCTTACGGTAGGTAGTAATAAAGCGTGTTGAGCTGAAGAAGGCCTTGAAACTGATATACAATTAATAAGAACAAAAATTATACAACCTTGACCACGCTGACAAACACTGGTTAGCACAGAATGTGCAATAGGCCTTCCCAGAAGAGAAAAGCGTCCCAACGGCACCGCCAACCGGTGCCGTTGGGACCGGTTGGCGGTGCCGCATATTCTGGCGATTCATGGCACTGACGATATAACAAGCATGGTTAATCACTCAAAATGGATGTCAGCTAGAATGCGACAGGTGCTCCAACAAACAAAAAAGATCCAATGTGACATACAACGAAATAGAAGACCTAATAGGCGGCGAGACTCATGCTTTGGCTACCCTTCAACACTTGTACACAGATGCCTGCCTCAAAAGATTTTGGCATTTGCAGTCACGAGACGAGGCACAACTCATGCTACGACGCAAGAAGCACACCTCTGGTGGACTGTTACTCATCTCACAATGCACAAGGCACGCAACCTCCCATCCTTTTTTTTCCCCCGACACACACAGCACTACTCTCAATGAAGTCCACCAGACGCTTCGGAATGTGCACACTGAAAAACAAGCAGAAAGACTGGCTGCGACAGATCACAAAGCGGCCCAACGCCCAACGAGTTTGGCGAGGCAACCTTGACACGCGGCACAGTTGCTGAACGGACTTTAAGCGACGAGCACACACTATGGACGCCATCCTAAAAGCTCTTGTCTGATCCTTGAGTAGAAAAGCTTTCAGACTATATATAAGATGTCAACAGCAGTTCAATCAGTGCTCCAGGATGTGAAGGTTATAATGGTCAATTAGAGGAGCTAAAGCGGATGAATTCACCCTTGTTATTTACGAAATTACACAAACTCAACAGAAAACAGAATCGCTAGATATATCGTATGCCTCTGCACTAACGTGAGGTACTGCATTTTACGTGCGTCCTAGACTACCGTGACATTCCTTCTAAATTTGCATCAATATTAGTTCCTCTACAGTAACTAAAAAAAAACCTATGTGCAAGAACAAAAACATGAAGGGTGAGCTTCAAGTTCCATTCGCCCAGTGGAGGACAGGTGCAGTGCAAGTCTGATCGGCAAAGCGGATAAAAAACAACGCAAAGGGCAGGCAAACCAAGGAGTGTAGAAACCGATGAACAAAAGTTGCCAAGTGACGATAGTGCAAAATAAAACAAAAAGGCAGCACAGTTAGCGGCGCAACAGAAAGTGGCAGAGACCAAGAGCAAGAAAGAACACAGAAAACAATCATGGTGGAAGGCAGGCAGAGAAAGATTAAAAGGCTTTACTTACTAAAACAGGTGGTGGATTA